GAGGATTCATGCATTTTAATCCATAGTTCTTTTGCCTATGTGATTTCTGAACAGAAAATGCTTTTTCTATTACCCATGTATTCATTTGCTGGACGTTCCTTGAAGAATTATGACGTTATATTTTTGGAATTGGGCTAGATTCTGAAGAAGAGAGTATTTGCTTTGCAAGAGTTTGCAGTCTAGTGGGGGAGAGACAGGAACAAAAAATTGATAAAATGGAGTGCAGGGGACCCTCAGCCAGAGAGCACAGAATGATTGGGACAGGGGAGGGGGACAGGCTAGTATTGGGGCCCTGTGATGTTTGTCATAATTGCAGTACCCAAGTGGGATGAGGAGAAGGGGGAAGAAAGTTCTCCCTTTGCCTCGGTTATGCTCAAGGCCATCAGCTTCCTGAGGTTCATCAAGGGCGGGATGCATTAATTCCCATAAGAGAATAAGATTTTTATGTGTACTAGAAAGTGACATGGAGAATTTACTTCAATGTCTGAATCACAGGGTTTATTTCTTCTTGGATTTATTCAGCAAACATTCATTGTGTGCAGGGAGCTGGAGAGAGCTTTACACAAATGACCTGTCCCTTGCTCCCCTTTGTGCATAGAGGCCAGGAGGTGGTTTCAGAGGTGTTCTGTAGACAAAATTGTGTGCTCCTTCAAGTCCACCCTTTGCAAAACAGGAGCAGAATGACCGTTATGAGCAAAATAGGAGAGACAGCAGAGCTGCTGCTTACAAGGAAAGAGATACCATTTTATTTATCAAATATTTATTTTATATATATATATAGAAGGAAATATAGGGGAAACACTACATGACATGCACATCAAAGACATCTTTACAGACACATCACCCAAAGCAGTGATAGTGAAGGCAAAGATAAACAGCTGGGACTACATCAAATTAAAGAGCTTCTGCACAGCAAAAGAGACAATAACAAAAACAAAGAGAAACCCCACTGACTGGGAGAACATTTTTGCACACAACACTAATGATAAAGGACTGATCACAAAAATATGCAAAGAGCTGATGAGACTCAACAAAAACAAAGAAAATAATCCAGCCAAAAAATGGGCAGAAGAGCTAAAAAGAAACTTCTCTGTAGAGGAAATGCAAATAGCCAACAAGCATATGAAAAAATATTCAACATCACTTGTAATCAGGGAAATGCAAATCAAAACTACAATGAGATACCATCTTACACCAGTGAGAATGGCACATATTAAAAAACTAGCAACAACAAATGTTGGCAAGGTTGTGGAGAAAAAGGAACTCTCCTGTACTGCTGGTGGGAGTGCAAACTGGTCCAACCACCATGGAGAGCTGTGTGGAGATTTCTTGAACTACTAAACATAGAGCTTCCATCTGATCCAGCAATTCCACTCCTAGGTATTTACCCAAATGACACAGAAACAGTAATTCCAAAGGGCACCTGTACGCCTATGTTTATAGCGGCACTATTTTCAATAGCTAAGCTATGGAAACAACCCAAATGCCCAAAAATACATGACTGGATCAAGAAGATGTGGTACATATACACAGTGGAATATTACTCAGCAATCAAAAAAGATAAACACATGCAGTTTGCAGCAACATGGATGGAGCTAGAAGGAATCATGCTCAGTGAAATAATTCAGAAAGAAAAAGAAAAATACCGGATGGTCTCACTCATAGCAGGAATTTAGAAAACCTAAATAAGAGACCAGGAAAAAGACTAATCAATGCAAAGTAATAATCAAAATCAACAAGCAACTATAAACCAGAGACACAGGGGTGGGGGGGGATTAGGGAGGGGAGGGGAGAGGAAGAACTAGAGTCAAAATAAGGGGGGGGGTACAATTGTATGGGGAATATAACCAAAATGAAAATGCATACATTGCACAAAGATGAAAAATGATGTAAGATATATATAAAATAAAATATTTAAAAAATATTTTATATATATTTCACATCATTGTTCATTTTTGTACAATGTTTGATTTTTCCCTTCAGATGTAATCTCCTTAAAATTTCCACCAAGTCACTTGTGAACCATCACCATAGTCTCTTGCAGTTTTCCTGCCCCTGTTTTAACCCTTCCCCCCATCGAATGTCTCTGATTTATAGTGGTCTAATTTTGTCCTCCCCCATCCCTTATTTGGTTTCCCTATATTTCTCCTATAAGTTAAACCACTTGATATTTCCCTTTTTCCTTTGGACTTATTTCACCAGCATAATCCCTTCCAGCTCCATTCATGTTGCTGCAAATAGCATGAGTTTATCTTTCAGGATTGTTGAATAGTATTCCATTGTTAATATACCACACCTTCTTGATCCAGTCATCATTTTGGGCATTTAGGTTGTTTCCATTTCTTAGCTATTGTAATAGTGCTGCAATAAATATAAGAGTGCAGGTTTCCTTTCAAATTAATGTTTTTGTATCCTTTGGGTAGATTCCTAGGAGTGGAATTCCTAGATCATATATGGTAGCTCCATTTTTAGTAGTTTGAGGGTCCTCCACACAGCTTTCCATAGTGGTTGGACCAATTTTCATCCCCACCAGCAGTACAGGAGAATTCCTTTTTCTCCACATCCTCCCAGACATTTGTTATTGCCAGTCTTCTTGATTTGGGCCATTTTCCCTGGAGTGAGGTGGTATCTCATTCTGGTTTTGACTTGCATTTCCTTGATTATAAGGGATGTTGAACATTTTTTCATATTCCTATTGGCCATTTGCATTTCCTCTTTGGAGCAGTGTCTTTTTAGCTCTGCTCATTTAGCTCTTCTGTTCATTTTCTGATTGGGTTGTTTGCTGAGTTGTTTGCTGGTTGTTTGCTGGGTTGTTTGTTGAGTCATCTGAGCTCTTTGTAGATATTTATGATCAGTCCCTTATCAGTTGTATGGGGTGCAAATAATTTCTCCCAATCAATAGGGCATCTATTCATTTTGGTTATTGTCTCTTTTGCTGTACAGAAGCTTCTTAAGTTTAATGTAGTCCCAGCTGTTTATATTTTCCTTCATTTTCTTTGCTTTGGGGGGTGAGTCTTTAAAAATGTTTCTGAGGTGTATGTCATGGAGTGTTTTGCCTATGTTTTCTTCTATGTATTTTATGGTTTCAGGTCTTGGCATTTCCATGCCTGTCTTTTAAGCCTGTGGGGTCAGGCTTTGCTTACAAAGACACACAAACAATAGCCCTCCTCTTTTTTTCCTTTTGGTTCTGAATAAGATCAACATAACAATAAAATATACCGGTTTAAGCCATTTTAAGTGTGCAGGTCAGTGGCATCAAGTTCATTCAAATCATTGGGCAACTATGGCCTCTCTTCATCTCCAGAACTTTCTCATCATTCCAAATTGAAACTATACTCACTGAACAATGTGCCCCAAATACTCACCTCCCAGCCCCTGGAAGGTACCACTGACTTTCTGTCTCTATGAACTTGGCTCTTCTGGGTGCCTCAGCTAAATGGCCTGATCCAGTGTATATATGTATTTGTGGGCCTGGCTTATTTTATTAGTGTGTCTTTTAGTTTCATCCATCTTGTCCCAATGCTTATATATTTGTAAGTTAAGAATCCAGAGTCCTGGGGTAACCTTTCTAGAAAACAGTAAAAAAATTAAACATAGAATCAGATTATGATACAGCACTAGTTCTTCTGGATATGTACCCCAAAGACCTGAAAGCAGGAACTGGCCTAATCCAGCCATGGAGTATAGTTTAGCCAAAGCTTTTCTTTTATAATTGTCTCCTCTATTTTCCTGTAAATGTGTTTGGAAGCTAATAGTTAAGACTATCCCAAAGGTTTATCTTCCCTTATGTTTACCGTGGGGTGGCGGGGGAGAGGAAGCAGTCTATGGCAGACAATGCTAAAGGGCTTGAAGATCATGGGCAACAACAGACTGAGTTTAATGTACTTCTCTTCATTTTATTGATCTGTCACAAAAATAAACCAGGCAGTCCTATCTGGGCACATTTCACTTGACTACCAGTTCAAATTGAGAAAAATAAAGCTTTTGCTTCAAATATCTATTTTCTAGTGTCCTATCAAAGTCTGTATTTGCTCGGTGGTTGATGCTGCACAAACTGAGCTGTTTGTCTACTTCCGGCATCCTAGCAAGTGAGAAGGAGCTCTTTGTCACTTCGCTACTTCATAGCATTTTCTTCAGTGTATTCTTGTATTTATAGGAGAATGTTCTCAAGTCATGTTGCTGTTTCTTTACTGCTTTCTCTTTGCTCCTGATCCCATGACATTGGTGTGAAGAATGTGCAGTAGAGTGGTAGGTGGGCCAAGGAGGCCTGTACCTAGCTGAGGACCCTATAGGGAAGGACATTTGCAGACTCTGCTGATGTGCTTCCGACATATCCTGGCCTCTTGTTCAAGCACATATATTGTTCCAGAAGGTCTTGGGTGGCACCTGAGGTTCTCTGATGCTAATAAACTCCAAGTGATGCTGATGCTGCAGATCTTTGGCAAACACATTTAGTAGTATATAGTATGCCAGGTTCAGAAAAGATGTGGGATATAAAGTGATTAAACAAGTATCAGTATGAACCCCAGGTGGGTATGCTAAATGCTTTCAGGCAGGTCACTGAACTTGACTGTGCCTGCTTCCCACATCTGTGACATTAGACTAGCAAGAGGACTTCCCTCATTAGTGTCACTGTTTTGGACCATCCCCCTTCTGACTTCCTCCCCAACACTACTATCATTGACAGGGAATACAATTGCAGGGGAGAAAAAAAAGGAAAAGAAAGTTGGCTACAATCCCTTGATTCTGGCTCCCCTGAAATTTTTCTAGTTTTAGCCCTAGAAGTTCTGTGTCCCAGGAAGCCATCAGTCAGCTTAGGATGCTTGTCCTCTTTAGCTGAAGTCTCCATTGAGCTCTACAAGGGACACTCAGGGAGGCTTGCTTAACTTGAAGTGAGAGAGGAAAAGTTTGTTTCTTTGGGTAGAAATTCACCAATAGTGGTTTTCATTTATCCCTCCTTCTGTGTTTTAACCCTCCTTCTGTTGCTTGACTTTTTGCAGTGTTCAAAAACTAAATGAATTTCTCCTGAGTGACGAGATTGGTGATGACAGCTGGCGCGCTGCAGAAGGCTCAGCTCTTCCTTTTGAGTCGTGCAAGAAACACACGGGTCTTGTGAGTGCTTTTGCTCCCTCTGAAGCTGTAACTGGGTGGATCTGTTTGGGTGGCGGCTGGGTGTGGTGGCAGCACATGTAGGGGGAGATCCTGTCCCTCTAAATCAGAAACAACACTGTAAGCCAACAGCAACATTGTTACCTCCACAAAATAAATAAAAATCTAAAAAACAGATATTCAGGCACCACTGAGGAATCTCTAAAGGTAGGATCTGGGTCTGATAATAATGTTTTCTACCAAAAAAAAAGTGAACTGGTGCAATTTGAGCAATTGTAAACTGTACTTACAACCTATATGAAGAAAAATTGCCACCTGCTCCTATAACAAATCTCTCAAGTCTCAAATCAATAAACAAAAGCTAAGCTTGTCCATTACAGATCATCAGTCATTACCCCAATGGAACAACACATGTTTAATTCCAAGGAAAATGAGAGGTGGTCTCCCCCAAGCTTTGTGTAAAAATATTATAAAATAAGCTAACAAATCCAACATCCCATTCTTCTAATACCTTTTAGCTGTACTACATTTTAGTTTCAAAAGTGCTTTTTGGTGCATTGTGTCTTTGACTCAGTTAATAGATTACATCACCTATGTTTATTTTCCAGATGAATATGATGAGCTTGCATGCTTTATGGCTTGAATAAAGTAAACAGATTAGTATTAAGTGGCAGAGCCAGAATTAAAACCCAAGTCTTATAATCCTTAACCCAATTTATTCATCCATTAAGAAATATTATTACTCAATATTTACATCAAGCCTAGAAACACAGAATTAGTTTTTGTGGCAGTGGATATTTGAAGAAGTGAGCAAACTCTGTGAACACACTTTAGTTCAGAAAGACTTGCTGATAGGTTGGAGGGGGTGAATTAGAAAGAGGACTCCAGGATAAATCCTAGGTTATTGGCTTAACTGCTGGATAGGGGGTGAAGCCATCAACTTGAAATAGAGAGGCTGAGAAATAAGTAGGTTTGTATTGAGGTGGAATCAAGATGTGTGTATTGCACCTGATAATTTTCAGAAGTCAAGTCAGCACTGAAGATGTAAACCATTGAGCCATTAGTGATTAGATAATATTTAAATCAGTGGGACAGGATTATACCACTTTCTTGAAAGGTGTATCTGAAAAATTCTGAAGAAAGTCTTTCAACTTAATATGTATATTTCCTAACAGTAAAGATGAAAGAAGTTTTTCTGAAATGAGTCACATTATAAATTATTATTAGTTACTAATGTTATTATTAGAGAAAAAGAGGAATGTATTTATCATCCATGTAACCAAATAAGGTTGCACATGCTCTCTCCTAAGTGGAGTTGATTGAAGCTGAGCAAGCCTCTCCCAGGTAGTCAATTCATATTAAATCTTTAATACATCATGTTTAAAACTAAAAATAGTTAAGATGAGGACTTTTGTCTGAAGAGGAACTACCATCCAGGCTTATGTAGATACTGAGTAATGATGTCTCCAAATGCTGGTTCACCAGTGTATGGACAGGAATCCACAGATGTGGGCACATGACAATGTCTGCACTTTGTGGCAGGAGGAAAGTCAGGCATTTGATTAGAACCAGCCTTAGATCATCAGATGCTACAAAGAATTCTGTAGATCATCCGTGAGAGATGTGGTTTGAAAGAGGTGACCTCAAGGAAAGGGATAGAGCAGGACAAGTTTGTGGAGTAAGGGAAATCAGAAGAATCTTTGGTATGAGAGATTGGTATGAGAGGAGGGGTAGAAGAAAAATTGAACTGAGGAAAGATTTTTGAAAGGACATGCCCTTCAAATGCATCCAATATCTTGATGGTTATTGGAACCAGACTGGACTTCTGATGTCCTCAAGGTCATTCATCACTGCTGAGGGTCCAAACCACAAATGACAACCTTTTTAAAATGGAGTGAAAAAAAAAAAAGCTGTGTATTTGAAATGGAAATCTTAAGATGCTATGTATTCTATAAAAGCTGAGAGTTAAGTGGTTTTGGCTGTAGCATTTCCATGGAGAATTAGTGACATTCTAGAGCCAAAGTCTCTTCAAATTATATCTGCAGAACTCCAACTCAAATGTCTGTCAACACATGTCTGCCTCCCACCCTCTCCTTAGTTTTGTGAAGAATATGAAGTCATTCCTTTGGGACCTTTGGGGGCAATACTACTGTAGCATTAAAGACTCTAGACAGTGAGTTTATGTGTAGGTGTAGACCTGTCTTGAGTGGAAACTATGCTTAGCTAAAAGGGTAGTTATTTTCTACCACATCTCATGCAGTGGCCTTCAAGGGGTCATCTGGGAGGACTCTGCAAAGAAAATCAAAACTCAAATAAAATTTCATGAACATTCTATTACCTTCTTCAATTAAAAATGCATTAGATATTTTCTATGTGATAGAACCGGTGTTATCTATGTGATAGAACTAGTTCTTCTCCATGGCTTTTTAATCTGTATTGATTTGCATGACAATTGCTACTTGATAGCTTGATGTTCTGGTGATACACAATTGATGGATATTGGAAGAACCATATCTCATTTGGATTAAATTACTGATTACTCCAGAACATGCTTCATTCCCATACTGGAAATCCACAATTTTTAAAAAAGTTAAACCTGCAAATTCTAGACCCAAAAGAGTATAATTACAAAAATTTAAGTTTTGAAGTGTATTACTATTTTGGCTTCATAGGATGTATTGGTATTTAAGTGAACTTTGACATAAATACTTGCTCACTTGATTTATGGGACAAATAGAGGTTCACAGAGCTGAATTTTCTACCTTCTCTAAATGACAAATTTCTAGTTAAGACCTTGTCTTAGTTGACTTTAAGTATGGAAGACTAGCCAACCTCAGCCTGCATTGCCTTTATTGTGGATGCTTTAGGACTTTGACTAGGAACAGCCCTTGCCATTTAGGGGAGACTGTTTCATTCTACAGTGCTTATGGATCTCCTTATGAAAAACTCTGAAGAAAATAATGTAGATCTCCATGTTTTTCTCACTCCAGAATGGATCCCTGAGTGATATAAATATGTCACATTCCAAGTCCTCGTGCTTTTGAAAGGGATCAAAAATCTGTTGAGACATTCACAAAGCCCAGTGACCTAACTGGTAGACTCTACTTTAACCTGAGTTAGTCTGCTTGATTTTTTCCATAACACAGTTTTATATTGCCTGGGAATATTCTTCCATATAACTGGAGAAAGAATCTCCAAAACTCACTTTAGGACTCGATCCATTAACATCCATCATTTGCAAGTATTACATCTTCAGCTTGTGCATTTGCTTGAAGATATAGCTTAATACTTTTTATTACCATTTGCTGGCTTTTGAGAAGACATCGAAATAATGAAAATAGGTCATTCACATCACTTGCTTATTTTCTGGGAATTTAAGTAAGAAGTAGCAATGTGAGTTCTGTAAAGCTTCAACTTGTGTTCTTTTCCATTTGGGATGCAGCAGCCGAAAACTATAAACAGGAAGCATCCTGGGCGATATCACCTGGACAGCTATGAGCAATCAACACGGCGCCTGCGTCCTATGGAGACAGAGGATGTTGCAATAAAGGTTATCTTAGTTCCTGTGTTCTCACATGAGTAGAAATATTTATGTTATTATATATGGTGAATTTCTGCAAATGTGGCCAAGATTGGGTCTTTAAAGTCTCTTTACAGTGATTGCTAATGCTTGCAACATTAAAAATACATATTCTGATGAGTTTATTCTTCTCACACATTCTCACCTTCTAGCCAGTCTTGCTGCAGCAGCATGTCTTCCTAGCAGGAGAAGGAACCTTCTTGTATGTGTTAGAAGCTAGTGTCTAATGTATTTCTTCTGGTTCTCTTACATTCATCTACCAAGCAAATAGATTTATTGAGAACACAATATTATAATCAATTTTTTTAAGGAAATAAGTTAGAGAGCAGTGTCTTCAACCTGGGGAGTTCGAAACCAGGACTCCTTGCATTCACCCATCTTGTCTGCACTGCCTCTGATCTCATTTCAAACTCTGCTTTTTGTACCTTCCCCAGGCCCGGCTGCTGAGGTGGAACCCAGGGTGTGGACTGACCATTGGGATAAATCCCAGTGAGGGGTTAATGCCGTGCAGGGACTGGAACAGACATCAAGCAGCCAGGGGCTTCAGGACGCAGTGCTCCCAGAGCCCTGGAAACTAGCTCTTTTAGGAAAGTAGCTTCATCTGCTGCTCTGGTCTGCCCAGCATCCTGCACTTGCCAGCCTGGTCAAAAGGAGGGGGTCTCAGTGGGATGTAGAGCAGAGCCAAAGGCTACATGGAATTCTTCTCTTTTCTCATATTTCTTGATGTAATATCTGCCCCTCAGTATGCTTAGAAATTGGAGCAACGGTGTATGTAATAGGGTAATGCTTGCCCCACCACTGCATTCATTTGCTGTGTGACTTCTGGGCAGATTGATTGCCTCTATGGGCCATGGTTTGCCCATTTTAAAGTGGGGATGCTATTTTGGGATGGTGTTTTGAGGATACGATGACATGTCAGCTGTGAATTTTAAAGAGCTTTACTGATACTTTGGTTATACATTAGAATCACCTAGAAAGCTTTGCTTTCAAGATAGATAGGTAGAATAGATAGGCAGATGGATGGATAGATGGGTAGAGAGAAATAAATCTATTCCCTACCTGTCTGTCTATGACCGTGGACTCACCTTTTGAAATACTAGTAGTTCTGTAGGCAATTATAGTGTGAAGTATTAGGCTATGAAAAAGTAAGGAATAAGAGACTAGAAAGGGTGTATACTCTTCTCAATTATGCCTGAATAATGACTTTATTATCAGTAACTAAAAATACATGATCAAAATTTTATTTTATTTTATTTTAAAGATTTATTTATTTATACAAGCACTGGGTACAGTCAGAAGCGTGGGAGGATGAGAGAATTCACCAGAGTCAGAGTGGGGAACGGAACAGGCAGACCGACGAAATACACTGCTGAGGGGAGCAGCGAGTGGCAGGAGAGGTCTGTGCGCCATGTGGGACCCTCGCCCAGCAGCCGGGGATCGAACTGGCGCTGCAGAGGCTGAGGGCAGCTTCGCAACCCAGCACACAACTGCTGTGCCACCTAAATAACATTTTCTATTTTGTATACTAAATCTAAAAATTGCCTTTTCCATGTGATTTATGAAATTTTATTTTAATGTAGAAAAGGCCATCATGATTTTTCCCCCAAAATTGATCATGTACCAAAAAACCCACAAAAACCTCCAAACCAACATGGCCTAGACTCAGCTATCCCTCGGAGAGGCTGCTACAGTTTCAGGCTCACCTTTGAGCTCAAATAAATGTTTAATTCAGGATGGAAATTCCCAAATCAGTAATAACTCATCTTCTTGATATATTTTTTTAAATTGTGAAATTACAATATACTGACAGAGGGCTACATAAACCTTCTGAATCCCATTGAATGTAAACATGAACCCCTACTCAACCACTACCACGTAAAGAGCACAACCTGCTCCCCAGAAGAAACCCCCAAAGCACACACTTGCTGCTCTTCCTCATACCTCCCCTGAGATACAGTCTCCATCCTGATTGTTATAGTCACCATTTCTTTTATTATACATGGCTCTATATGGCCCCCAAAAAACTTACTTTAGTTTTAAGCATAAATATATGTGTTTACCTTCTTTGGTTCAACACTGTCTATTGAATTCTTCCATGTTGCTCACCCATGCTCCCTGCTCTGTCGTGTTCCATTGTGCAAAAGTATCACCATGCATGCGTGTGTCTTATGTTGGACAGGGTTGTGTTGTTACGCAGCTTGGAGCTATTGTGAGCAATAGCTGAGTCAGTCTTTGCTTCCTTCACTGATCCAGATAGTAGCAGACCTTTCTCACGTGGCTCTGTCAATAGTAACAGGTGTTCATTTGATCCACCTTCTCACTAGTACTGCCAATATTTTGCCAAAGTGTATGGTGTGCTGGGGGAGGTGCGGTGAAATCACACTGTGGCTTCTGTTGACACTGGTTTCTGCTGAGGTGAAGCACCTCTTCCTATATATGTATCACCATTTGTGTTTGGGATCCTCTTTGCGACTCATCTGGTTCTTTGACCCTCCCTTATAAAAAAAAAGTCTGGATACTGGTTCTTTGGCAGTTCTATATGTTAAAAAAATTCTTCTCCTACTCAATAGTTTAGATTTTCATTCCCTTTATGGTAGCAGAAGTTTTTACTTTTACTGTAGTCTTATTTAATAGACTTTTCCTTTATGGTTCATGTTTTATTTTTTATTTCCTCTGAGAAAACTCTTCTGCCAGAATGAATGAAGGTAATCGCTATTAAATCTTTCAAGCTACACCTCTCACCTTTTAATTCCTTTTTCCACCTAGAATTGATTCTTGTAATGACATAAAGTAGCAATGTGATTTAGTTGGGAGAGCAGTAGTGAATAATTTTGGTTGCAAATTTTGTGGTCATGAATGAAATAGTAGTTGCTGTGCTGCGGTGGTCCTAAGGCTGTGCACTCTGCTGTGATTGTTACATGACACCCGGTTGTCCCAGCCCCAGTTCTGGGTCAATGTCACCGGTGCCCTGCTGTGAAGTCCTAGACTCATATCAGGGATCTTTACATGCCTGGGCTGATGGCTGGTCCTTTCTTGTTCTCCTGTATATTTGTTGAATATTACACTGTTCTGAGTATCATGACAGCTAATAAACATTGACATCTTTTAGAGCAAGTCCTTAAATTATATCTTGTTGTGTTTCTTGCAAAATATCTTTTTGCCATTCTTGGCCCTGTGCTGGATTTCCATCTGTGAATTTGTAGTTTTCCGTATACTTCCAGTTGGTATTTCCTTCTGTCTTCCGTCGCTTTTTTACAAATTATATTTTATTCAGCATTTGCACTTATTTTCACCAGAAGGAAATAGGGTGGTGGGTAGAAGGCCCTGCCTTTCCATTTTCTGGAAATTACTTTCATTGAGGGGAAATTCACATACTATAAACTAGCCACTTGAAAGTGAACGCTGGTATTTATTATATTCACAGATTTGTTCATCATGCACATCTATCTATTTGCAAAACCTTCCCATGACCCCCAAAGGAGGGTCACATACCCAATAAGTAGTCACTGGCCACCTCCCTCTGGTGACTACCAACCTACCGTCTGGCTACGGGTTAACCTATTCTGGATATTTCGTGTGAATAGAATGATGCAGTAGATGACTTTTAGCGTCTGTCTGGCTTCTTTCTTTGTTTTCATCCAGTGTTTACCCTCATCCCTGTTCTACCTGGCCTCTGACCCCTCATCATCATGGTACCAGCTCTAATGTGCTTAAATATCCTCCTATCTTTATAGTAAGAAAACATGTCTTATTATCGTGAGCATCTGTGGACTCTCAATGGGCTGAACCTGTTCATGCTCACTTGCTCCCTCCTCCCTGCTATGCTTCTCTACAACCACCACTGCTTTAGACATGGCCCTGGTGATGGGTGATGCCCTCTGTCTTCCTCTATCATGACCCAGTCACTTTGACCATGTTTGTACCAACCTTGTGATAAGCATTTGCAAAGATTTCTATGTTAGCTGATAGTCCACAATCAAACGGCTACTCAGGGAAACCAGCATTTTCACCCTGAGGGTGGTGAAGTGAGACTGTTTTGTTAAAGCAGGGGGGATGGAGGCACAAAGGGCAGCCATTAATTAAGTACAACCTTCTCCTTCCATCCCCCATGTGAAGGCGTTCCCTCTTTGACTTTGTGTGGCCCTGGATTAGGAGGTGGTGCTGTCTTCTGGTTCTTCCCTGTGGTGTTCACTCTTGCATTCTTGGAAGGCTCTGGCTTTGTCCACCTAGCTCCTTGTTATCAGAGCACTCGTCACCTCCACAGAGGGCTTGGGTGCCTGGCTCCCTTAGTAAGTACCGTGCGTGGATGAACTGGCAGCTTCGAAGGGCTCAGCCTGTCTAGTTTCCAAGCCCAAGAATCCCTGAATCTGTATTTCCACAACCTCACCCGTGTCCACAACTGGCCACCCCTAGAACATCTGTATCTCTAAACCAGCTCTCCTTGGACCCTGCAGCTCCCTCAGGCTTCTGTCATTGTGAACCTCAGTGTAACCTCAGTAACCTGAGCTTCTTCCTTTTTTCCCAGAACCTTCTTGTTCTCCCAGTCTTGCCTCCTATAACAGAAGCTGAGAACTGGGAGGGAAATGACACACCCATCAGCTGGCTCAGCCACAGAGGTGTCCTCTCCAGCCTCGCTGCTCCCCAGCTCCTGGCAGTGCTCTGACATGCCTCCTCAGCATCCCTCCTCAGCCTGCAGTGCCTCATACCCTCTCTCTCCTTCAGCCTCTTACTGCTGATGAGCTTCTCTCCTAGCTCACTGCAAGCATCAGTGTCATCACCTGGGACCTCTCTGCTCCATACTGGCCTTCTTCCAAACTATGTTTGCACCTCCATGGCCTCCTCATCTGCTCTCTGAGAAGAGAGGTCCTCAGCCTCAGAGGCTGGGTGCTGTCCATGAGCATTGTCTGTTACTAGCCATAGGATTCTACACCTCAGCTCCAGCCAGCTCTCATTGTTCCCCACAGCCTGGTTCCTGGTGGTCTGATCCTGAGCCTGTTTTGTAGTTCTTTACCCAGAAATGCCCTCATTGAAATGCAACATGTTTTCCAACACTAGCTAAAAACCTTCTCTTCTGTCTTCTTTAAACTCATCTCCAACATAAATGATTTTCTTTGAGTTTCTGGTACCCTAGCTGGGTCTCCCCTCTGCTTGTTAGTTGGCCCCGACTGCCGTGTATTACTTACTGCTGTCCGTGGTTTATTTATTTCCCTGACTGCAGGCTCCAGGGAAGCAGGGAGGATGAGTCACACCTGGTGTGTGGCTTCCATCAATCCTGACACAGTGCCTCATACGGCCAGGGTTCATAAGGTGATCAATAATTCAGCCCTTCTGTGACACCCTCTTCCCGGGACTAATTCCACATGTATCTGTGTGATGGATGTGACTAAATGCCAGGCATTTTATAAGCTAGGGGAAACCTGTCTGGAAAAATACAATCTAACCTTTTCAAGCAACTTCTTTACTAATTTGTTCATTTTAAGAGCAGGGATGCAGTTAGTAACTTTTCACATATCACCAATCTGTTTCATGAAATTTCTGAACAGTAACATGTTTAGCAATGTCATCATTTGTGGTTTTGAAACGAAGTATTATTTTGCAAGTAAGGTGTGTTTTACCTTCACTTTCCTCTAATTTTTCAGGCGCCCCCCTCTCTTCATCTGTCTCTGTTCATTCCCTATACTTGAGACTTGCTCTACTTCTTTTGTTCCCCATTTTTGTATTAAAGCCTTTTGTCTTTAAGATCTCTGTCCACTGAAAGTCTCTCAACACAAACAGAGGCTTGAGAGGACCCTTGGTCTTACGGTCTTTGCTAGTTGTTCTTTGTTCCACCAATCAGTGTGCCCTCATTTCTTTGTTTTGTTTCTCTGTGCTCTTTACTATTTCTTTTATGTTCTGTTGATGAGAAAATATATTATTGAGCAAATGGATATAATAAAGATCCCAGCAGAACTTCCGGCCCAGGTGCAATTAATACTCCAATGCAGTAATTAGCAATCTTTCTACTTAAGTAATGGAGTCATTTTTGTTATAATAATTTGTAGGTATTTCTTTCATTTGTAGATATTTCTTTGCATCACCAGGATTCTGGAAATTGCCTAACAGTGATGAAACAAACAGTGCAGGGAATATGTTGGAATATATTTTACATAGTTGCTTTTCAAGAATGTACATGTATAATTTGATGCAGTAATCCCATATTTTCAGAGAAAATTGTAGTTTTTAGCATTCACTACGATATCACTAATTCAGACTCTACTCCTTCTCTGTTTTTCATCTATCCTCTAGAATTTTTATCACTGTGTATTCCACCTTACACTGTAGGTCTTTCAGTGCTTTAAAAAGAAATATTTTTGGGGTCTCTCTGGTGGTCCAGGGGTTAAGTCTCAGCACTATCACATTGATGGCCTGGGTTCGATCCCCAGCCAGGGAGGTGACCGACATCGCACAGCAGACCTCGCCTGTCGTGCCCACTGCTCCTCTCAGCAGTGTATTCAGTAGATCCACCTTTTCTGCTCCCCACTCTGTCTCTGATGAATCTTCTCACCCCCTGCACCTCTGGCCTACATCCCAGTTCTTCTACACAAAAATAAAAAAAGAAATAGAAAAATATTTTACTTAGAAGTACTCTCTACCACCATCTATGTACATACTTTCTGATTTAACATCTATATTCTATTTTCCAGGTCACAAATGGGTACTTCTCATGGGGCAGTGGGATAGCGACCTTATCCAATATAGATATTCGAATTCCCACTGGTAAGTCATTTTCACTCATTGGTGTAAATGTTAATTGTCAAATCTGTAAATTTCCAGGATAATTAAGCCTAACAAAAAGAAAGGCTTTTTAAGGACATGCACATTATTCAGAGTTATTTCTTTGCACTACGAAGATCAAGGCCCTTGTATCATGTGGAAATGACTGCAGATGGGCAGGCTCGCCTTTCACCACACAGTGCAGACCTTTGGCTGTGTTACTTAATGGCCAAGTGACTGTTTCCACTTTATTTTTTCATTTGCCCCATTTAAATAATAGGGGTAGTTGATTTCTAATTTTGTTTGAGAAAGGACTTAAAGAGTAAATGAAGAAAATGATTTTCTATTCCTGAGGAAGAAGACTCATGAAATTTTCAAGATATTTAAGACAATTAATATAATTTATTTATATTTATGTGTACTTTAAAAAAATGTGTTTCATTTATAATGAAAATAAACTGTATTTTTAATCATTATTTAAAATGACTGGATAATAGAAAAATTTTGACCTGGCCTGATGGTCAGAGGCATTGAATGTTTCCATTGCACATGATAATCAAAGTGAGGCATTGGAGAAGTCATAATAACAGCCCGGTCACTTTTTATCACAGTGATCTATTTTTGTCAAAACTGCCCTTTCCTCCTGAATGAATTGAATAATAAAGTTAAAACTAAATCAGAGGATTTAGGGGGTTATTTCATTGCTCTCTTCACTAATGTGAACTATTCTCAGAGTTTGAAAAAAATAGTAAGAAATTATAATAATGAAAAAGAAATGATTAACAAATTCTGATTAATAAATAATTTTCCTTTTAATTTATTTTTAATTTTATATTTTTTTACATTAGTCTTCATTTTTGTACAATGTATGCATTTTCATCTTGCTTATAGTCCCTGTGAAATTCCCACCAATTCACCCATGCACCATCACCATAGACCCTTGTGCTCTTCCACCCCTATCTTGATCCTACTCCCTTCCCACCCCTGCAGAATGTCTCTGGTTTATAGTTGCCTGTTGATTTTGATTTTTACTTTATTATAATTACTTTTTTTCTTCCTTTAAATTACAATTTTTCATTTCCTTTTTCAAAAATGCCTATATACTGGGGAAAGTCGTTGCTTAGCATGCCTCAATGCCGGAGGCCAAAACTGGACCATTGATTGTAAGACATCAGCCTTTTCTAAATGTTTTGATTCTGTGTCACTGAATCCAATCTTCTATTGCCATCTTCTGTTTCATCTCTCCAGGTCAGTTAACCATGATTGTTGGCCAGGTGGGGTGCGGGAAGTCCTCTCTGCTCCTTGCCATTCTCGGGGAGATGCAGACGCTGGGAGGGAAAGTGCACTGGACCAGGTACGTACATTGGTGATTGGCTTCTGTTGCTCTGTCACCATCTGATGATCTTCCAGGGGAGGAAATTCTAGCAGTTCATTCTCATGGTGTCTGAGGACCCTTCAGAAATAAGCACAGCTTTTTAAAAATTAAGTGGCAACCTTACATCTTCTAAATTAAAGATTATAAAACAATTGATCATGGAGATTTTTAATGGCATAAACGAGTGTGCTGCTGAGATTGAAGTCAGAGTGGGATGATAGAGGTAGATTTTTCAAGTTAAATGGGTAACATCAAAAGCATAATTTAAAAATTGATCCTCTGATAAAAGGAGTTATGGGAAATTTGCATTATTTATATAGCTTAAAAGCAAACACCCTTAATGGGCCTCTGTTTAGAGAAGAAATATCAAATAATCATTTGCAAAATCTTCCTAAGGGGCTGAGAAACCAGCACCTCCTCTTCACACTGAATTGAAACAGACATTAGATCATGAAGTTAAAGACTTGACTGGGTCAGACTGGTGTGTTGTGCAGCCCTGAGGATGTGGAAAAGGTGTCTAGGAGTTTGTTCTGGAGATTGGAATGGTTGGCTTGGAGTCTTGAAGAGTCTCATGCAGTACTGACTGAGCTAGCTGGGCTTCCCTTTGGGGGGGTCTTTAAAGCACATTGTGGAGATAGAGTGACTTCGAACTTGACTAGTATCTGATTGTGTAAAAAAGAGTAAGTCATATGGATTTGATCTACCTTGTGGACATCCCTTAAGCAGGTTATGAGGACAACTGTGAGCTCAGCTCAGAGCTCAGATGGACAACTCAGAGCTCAGATGGTAGACCTGTGGGTCTCAGGCAGGGGTGATTTCGCCTCCGGGGAACATCAGGCAGTGTCTGGAGAGAGTTTTGATTTACTTCGTTGAGTCAGGGATGCTGCTGAGCATCTTACAGGGTGCCCACAGCAAGGAGTAACTTGCATGTCCTTTGCGCCAGGTTTAGGAAACTCACTGCAGACCTCAGATGTGCTTTTGTGTCCTTGTGAACCTGCCGCAGAGTATTCTTCCATGTCTCTGTTCACACACAGAGCTATCCCTCAAGAACCAGTAAAGACTATTCATGGATGTTTTTAGGATACACCCTATTTTAAACTCCAGTTAAGAGAAGAAAATACTTGGATGTGGTATTTGAACTAGAAACAGATTTTTGGTGTCCTATTTTGTTATCATTGGTGAAAGGAAGAGGCTAAGTCATATTGGGTATGCACAGTGACCTGCTGGGCCCATTATCAGATGGCAGACACCTTCAGGACTGTTCAGCAGGAAGCATGGTGATGGCTGCTGCCTGTGTTTGCTGCCTGCAGAATCCTGTCACTCAGGAAGGTCAGGCAATGGGCGGGGCTGGATTGTTGGCTGCCTGCCATCTTGGATTGTTATGGGCTTTGAGAAGCAGCTTTTCTGGATTAAATGATAATGTGTGATATTTATGTCCATCAACACACTATTGGGTTTCATTTTCCACTCTTTCACTGTCATTAAAGCAGAGAGAAAGCATGAGAGACACTGACAGGAAAGCTTGAGACTTAATTTTCATACAAGTAGGACATTCATCTGATCTGGTCTTCTCTGGTGTTACTTAAGATACGGGTCCTGGGGCCCTTGGGTCAGATGGACTCCCAGTATTTCTAATGTAGTCATTATCATTTTGTTAATGAATAGATACAAAAGATAGGAAAGTATGCTATACAATCTATTCATTTATTTTCTTGTGTTCCTAACCAAGATATCTATATCGATATATATATGCTTTCAAGTTTCATTATACTGTTATTTTAAATAAAATGTTTATGTATAAATTAAATGTGTATATCTTCTAAGAAAATGCATACCATTTATATCATATCTTATTTCATCAAGATTGTAAATTTAAAATAACAATATAATAAAACTTGAAAAATAAAAACTAAGAAGGAATATAATGTTTAAATAAGATCATAACTATTTAGAAAATCCTCATAATTAAAAATTCATCTTTTTGTAAACACTTGACTTACTGGACAACAGTCCCATCTCATCAGAAAAGACTAAGATTTTCTTCAAAAAATGTTTGAGTTGGGTCACACACTTACAACTTAAAAACTTGGTCTCTATGAATTGGATAAGCTAACATAAATTCTGTTTATCTTTAATTACAATAATTATATAATTTTCTCCCATGGTATCCTTAATAACTGATAAAACATTTTGAAATCAGCAATGTACAGAGGTGACTGACCTTCTTTTAAAGAGTTATTTGTAATTGCTCTTTTCATTCCAGCAAAGATCCTAGTCCAATAAGGAAAGGCATATAAATGTTATTACATTGGTAAATGTTGTTACAGCAAAGCTAATTTAATTAATCTCTATATTAGTAGATGGCATGGATTACCACAGGTAGTGAGGGCACAAACATCTGAAGAGGTATGAACCTGTATTTTGTAATCATATATGGTGTTTTATACTAATGTTACCTCAATAGAAAAAATACCATTAAAAAATTAGAGCTAGCCATAGCTTGAGGATACATAAATGCTAAGTACTTTTTTTTTTTTTAATTTTTTTTAAAGATTTATTTACTTATTTATATAAGCACTGGGTACAGTCAGAAGTGCAGGAGAGTGAGAGAATTCACCAGAGCCAGAGCGGGGAGCAGAACAGGCAGACTGATGAAATACACTGCCGAGGGGAGCAGTGGGTGCAGCAGGAGAGGTCTGTCGCGCCATGTGGGACCCTCGCCGGTGGCCAGGGATCAAACCGGCGTTGCAGAGGCTTCGGGCAGCTTCGCAGCCCAGCACTCAATCACTGTGCCACCAGGGGAGGCCCCTAAGTACTTTTTTTTAAATCAGACTGAACTTGTGTTATTTTTTTCAAGTTCAAAACAAAGTAAGACAACAACATAAATATTATAATAAGGCTTTGATTTTAAATGTGCCCTCCTAGACAGGTATGAGCAAAATCCAGTAAAGTTCTTTGCCCTATTACAGCCAGAAATATTTACTTTGGGCAGAAAAGAAGAATTCCCCTATACACAGAGACATCTGTAGATGTTTTCATGGCAGTTGCTACCTTTGAACTAGCCTGACATGTCACCCAGGAAGAGAAAGTTAAGCTAGAGGCGGATGGGACTGAAAAATTATCCCAAACTGATAGGATGCCAGAATGTTTACTCCTTGCCTCTGGGTGGGCTTTAACTTTGTTGAAAAGCAAATGTTCTGCCCGACATTGCCTTTTCCTTGCTGTTGTGATAAAGAAAAATCCCTATTGGCATCTAAGACCTGGAACTATATTGCTTTTTTCTGATGGACGGTCACAGTGAGAGAATCCACAGTGTGAGGTGATGATTGTGATGATCGAGTGAGAAGTCACCACTGATCTTTGGTTCTCCTTCCCCTTTCTCCCTCAGCCATGCCATCAGTCACCCTACTCTCAGGCTCCATCTGTCCTTGAAGTTTTCTTGATGTAATCAGCTTAATCGCAGTACCTCCCTCTAAGACTGGTGAATTGATCTAGCCCTTTTCATGTGGCTTTGCCTGGCAAGGAGGAGTAATAGCACACTGAGTCAGCTTTCTGGGTCAGATATAATGTAACATATTTATATCTACCTCAAACTAAACCTTCTTTGAAACACTGTTCTTGATTTGATCTTACAGAAGTCATTCCTGCCCAAACCATTCCAAAAGATAGCAACCATGACACTTAAAAGTTGCTAGAATACCAAGTTTAACTTTTAGTTTTGAAAGAAAACACACAAATCTTGTACACCAAAGGGAAATCTTTCCAGAAGGGGATTTTCCATCTTGGCTTTCTCTGTTGTCTTCAGAGCTCTTCATGGCCACGTGAGATGATCAAGGGTAAGTCTATATATTGACCCAGTGATTTTCATGTAATTAAATCAGATCCAATGTTGGAATGCAGAGCTAATTCTTTGTTTATTTTGGAAGAGAAAAAATAATCTTCTGCAATTGAATCTGATGAAAATATTGTTATATGAGAGGGTTGGAGAGTCTCCAGAAGTTGAGGATCGTCACATTACTCATGGAAAATGAAAAAGGATAGTTTTTTTTTTAATTTGTTCATTGAGGATGATGACCTCCAAATGAATCTACATCTACTTTTTGTTTTTGGAAACTAGTATATGATATTTAGCTTTTGTTCTTAAAAAATTAGATCCCGAAAGAGGAGGTCTTCAGAAGTGAAGACCCACTATCTGCTATGAATGTCCTGAATGTCCTGAAGTAAGGGACATTCCTAAATTTCAGAAACATGTCAGTTACACTGATAGATGTTATATTTAATCACTCTGGAGGAATTCGGTACCATCCATTTAAACTAATCAGCACCACATAATGGTGCTTCACATCCAAAAATGTGTGGAGTTTTGATGGTTTCCCAGCTGAGAAGAGCATACATGTCTTCTTGCAGCTCTTCATCTTGTACATTTTTGGGGGTAGAGCACATATGGAAGGGGTGCTGACTTCTTGTCTCCATGGCTTCAGCAGCCTCCAGTGGTCTCTGTTACCTCCAGAAGTCTCTGTGTTGCCTCTAGTCTTGCTCCCTCCAATTCCTTTGTCACATTCTGAAGTGAGAGTGGTGTTTCTAAACTTAACCTCTTTCTTGTTTAAAATCTTTTTGGTGGCTTTTTATTGCTCTGAGGAGAAGTTCAAGCTCTGAAATGTTCTATGAGCCCCTCAGCTCTCTGACTCTGCACACTTTTAAGACACCCTATGTTTTACATTCATTTTTCAGGCACACCGAATTTATATCAGTTGTTTATAGGACCAGGACACCAAAAGGCCACCCAGTGTGTATATTCTCTGGTCAGAAATCCTCATCACTTTCTGCATGTAGCCAATCTGGCCATCGCCTGGGGTCAAGTCCTTGGTTTACTCTGACTTGTCAAAAATGTCTTTCATCTGTGCTCTCATATTGCCCTTTGCCTTACCTGTCCTATGTGTATTTCTGGTCACACTTCCCACTAGGAAGCGATCAATAAGCATTTTTGAATGATTACTGAATATAGTTAGAAGTTAATCAGTAGCAATAAAAAAAAAGTCAAGGGGACTCCCCGGTGGCGCAGAGGGTTGAGCACAGTGCTGTGAAGCTGTCTTGCAGCCTCTGCAGTGCCTGTTCGATTCCTGGCCAGCCAGCGAGATTCCCACACGGCATACCAGACCTCTCCTGTCACACCGGCTGCTCCCCTCAGCAGTGTATTTCGGTTCTTCTGCCTGTTCTGCTCCCTGCTCTGTCTCTGGTGAATTTTCTCACCCTCCTGTGCCTCTGGCTTGTACCCCAGTGCTTGTATAAATAAATAAATCTTAAAAAAAAAAGTGATGACCTCCAAATTCATATTTCCAGTTTGGTCTGATATGTTCAAGTGTCTCATGGACATTTGCACACATGTACGAGGCATTTCCAGTGGATGACAGGAGGCAGGTGAAGCCACATGCCTGCTCTTCCTCCTCGTTCTCTCTCTTCCCCAGGAGAACAAAAGCCATTGAGGTCTTCTATTGGCTTTTTCCACAATAAAACAAAACTCCAATTTCTTAGCATTGAAAGACTATCATGCTGCAAATATCGCTCAGGAAATGGCGCATTTCATGACTATATTTTTGATGAGCAACTTAAATCCAGGAATTATCATAATTGAAAGGGTCTTCTTGGTCTGAGGTGACTTTCTCCTGACTCTGTCAACAAGGCCAAGTTGATTAGCAATTTGCAGACAGGAAAATCTTACCATAAGCAACTCTAAGCCAAATACAAGTAGGTCACATAATGAATCTTTAATTGTGTGTGTGGTTTTTAAATTTACATCTTTCAGAATGATGGAATTCAACTGAAATATTAAAAATTAGAATAAAATGAATAGTGTTTCAACTTCACCTCCTCATAATAAATATAACTAAATCTAATGTCAAACACCTCTTGACATAAATCACATTATTCAACAGTGAATTATACCCAAATGCTACAGTTTCATCTACTGTGAATGTCAGTTTTCCTTACCAGTTACTGAAGAGACAGGCAGTATTTAAGACTTCCATGTTAGAACCCCAAAGTTTTTCTTCCTCTCATACCTTAGAGGAGCTACTTAGGACTTTGCGTAGGTTCAATTTGAATTTTAAAGGTGAAGAGAAAAACTATCTGGAGAGATTGTCTGAAGTTTTATAGTTAGAACAGAGCTGGGTGAAAACCCAAGTCATTATGTGAACTTGAATTTTGTATAAAGAGAACAGAGTGCTCTTTTGGAAGCTTACAAAGTGATTACTTCTCAGATGATAAAACTATCATTTATCTGGTTTGTCTTTGCAATCCGTATCAAAATCCAACTGAAATATGTAGTCACTTAATAAGTTTGTTTCTGTCTTACCTGATATGTGTACACATTCATTCACTATTTGTATTTCATCATTAATGAACATTGTTTGCCATACTTGCAGTGTAAATGAATCTGACCCTTCTTTCGAAGCAACCAGAAGGTATTATTTCTGTTCTAATCTGCATTTAATAAGAATAACTTCCTTCCTCAGACTTTCCTTGATACTCAGTCTCTTACCCCTAGCCATGGTTTTCCTTCTGATCATGTACAAAGTTAGTTATTAAATGTACTAGCATATTTCCAATCGCAGTGGCTCCCAACCACTTTTAGCTGCTAAAAGAATGAACTTGCTGATTTTTTAAAAAAATGGCCTATTGTGTCAACTGCCTTTCTCTCCTTAAGTCATATCCCAACTCCGGCTGAAACTCAAACTGCCCCGAGCCAACTGAATTTGGGATTTCATAAAACAAAATGTAAGAATTAATATGTACATTGTTGATGAGTTAAGTAGTGATGGGATCTAGCTATAAGAGAGACATGGAAAAGCAAGTATTTCATCTATTTATTTCATCTATTAAAAGACAAAAAACCTCAAACCCACTGAAGGGACCATGGGAAATGGGAACTGTGTGAGGTTGGGAGCCACTGTTTTGCCCACAGATGGCCCCCCAGGATGGCCATGCTAGCTCAGTGCCTGAGGCAAGTTGGGCGCCTACTGAGAATGCTCATTTCTAACTACTCTTTCTTAATTTTCCTCTCTCTAACCTTCATTCCTCAATTATACTTACAGACCGTGAACTAACTAGAAGTGCAACGTTCAAGCTGATTCCCTTCCTACCCCAATCCATTTATCTTTAGCTTACATGCATTTTCCTAATCATTCCGGATTAAAGTCTGATGTATAGACATCTGGTACAATTTGCAAGCCAAAAAAAATGGAGAACGGGAGGTGGTTATCATTTTTCAAAAAAAAAAAAAAACCCTATTGAAATATGTAGTTTTAAAATGTGTAGTTATTTCAGTATTGAAATGGACTCAAGATATCATTCTTTGTTTTGAAATATTGATACACCTATTACCTTGACATTTGTTAATGCCATTAAGCCACATTCTGAAACGATCTTTATAGCATCGGTTCACGTCCTTTTTTAAAGGTTTCTCTGTAAAATTTATAGTTATGTAAAGTGCTTTTAATATAAAGTAAAATACCTGTGGCTATGGGAGAGAATGCATTGTTTTAAATGATTTATTTTTAAAGTTACACTCATAGAAATGAAAATTTTGATTAAAAGTTTTTATCTTAAAACACTTCTCTAGCAAAAACGCACATTGTGTGGCATTTAATTAAATTCTAATCCCTTTCACTTAGGTACATTTTAAATCTTGAATAAAGTGGGTGTGTGTAGACATGGTCTTTTAGAAGTTTCTGTTTCAGTATTTCAGATAGTGTATTAACTTTCATTTTCATTAGTTTGACTAAGATACACGCACGGCCCAGCACCCCTGTGTAATTTCGGTGTTTTGAGTTTTTCTGTTTTCCAACAGGAACAAGTATTCTGTGGCTTATGCTGCTCAGAAGCCTTGGCTACTAAATGCTACGGTAGAAGAAAATATTACTTTTGGAAGTCCTTTCAACAAACAGAGGTAACTGTGCATGTATACAGTTCAGAACCAAAATGAGCAACTACTTCTAACCCTTATGTTTGGGTCAAGTTTCTGAAATCTTTACATAGAGCCTTACATTCCTCCCCACCTGAACTACTTCTCCCTCATCACCAGGTCTTTTTAGTGAACTCTTTTGAGAAGCCTCACTGGAAGTTTCTGCCCATCTTGAATACTGAGAATATTTTGTATGCCAGACCTCAGCAGCCGAACTGTGTGTGTGTGTGTATGTGTCTGTGTCTGTCTGTGTCTGTATGCAAATGCATGCGGGTGGGGTGTCGGTGCACGTGGTGCTGCTGAGTTTAGTGGGAAGCAGGAGAAAATCTCAGCAAAGAGCAGAAAGGAGTTAACTGCAGAGAAGGGGAAGCCTGTAGGGTCTAGTGAGTATGCAAAAGTTTGACCCTTTCCTTAAGTCACTCTGGGAGGGTAGGTCTGCAGACCCTGAACTGGGTCTTGAATGTTAAATGAGGTGAGGAGAGAAGCAGGGGAAGAGGAAAGCAGGTGGTGGGGAGGAAGATTCTGCATGACCGGGATCATCTGGGGGCTGGGAACACACCACGCAGAAAGGGTCTTGAGTGTACTGAGAGTGGGAACGAGATTGTAAAGAAAGTGAGGTCAGGTTGTGAAGGGTCGTATCAGCCAAGTAGATGTGATTTGGTGTATTTTGGGGAGACATGGCAAGTTTTTTTTTTGTTTTTATTTTTTAAAGATTTATTTATGCATACAGGAACTGGGGTTCAAGCCAGAGGTTTGGGGGGGAGAGAGGATTCACCAGAGACAGAGTGGGGAGCAGAACAGGCAGATGTATTGAAATACACTGCTGAGGGGAGCAGTTGGGCAAGACAGGAGAGGTCTGCTGCACCATGTGAGTTAGCTCCCTGGCCGGGGATCGAACTCATGCTACAGTAGGTGTGGATAGCTTCATAATGCTGATGCTTAACACCTTGCACCATCAGGAAGGCCCACAGTAAGTTTTAAAGGGGGAATAAGGTAAATGTGATGGTGAATCTGGAATTGTAATGATTTGTGTACATGTGAGTATATGTGTGTGTGTATGAGTTTATGTATTTGTATATGTGCACACATACACGCATGGATGATGAATCTTAATTAAGAGCAAGGAAATATTTAGAAGTTGGAAATGTGTTGGTACAATTATCTTATCTGCACTTGCAGGTAACATTAGAAATGGAAAAGAAGAGGGTCTCCCCTGTGGCACAGTGGGTTGAGCGCAGTGCTGTGAAGCTGTTTGCAGCCTCTGCAGTGCGGGTTCAATTCCCAGTCGGCCAGGGAGAAACCCACATGGCGTGGCAGATCTCTCCTGCCTCACCCGCTGCTCCCCTCAGCAGTGTATTTCAATACATATGCCTATTCTGCTCCCTGCTCTGTCTCTGGTGAATTCTCATACCTTCTTGTGCCTCTGTACCCCAGTTCTTGTATAACTAAATAAATCTTTAAAAAAATATGGAAAAGGAGTGAGGGTTGACAGAAACCATTCTAAATTAGAATGGACAGGGGAGAAAAAGGGAAGAATCAAGAATGATTTGGGGGCCTCCCTGGTGGTGCAGGTGGTTGAGTGCTGCACTGTGAAGCTGTCCGCGGCCTCTGCAGCATGGGTTCGATCCCGGCCAGAGTCCCACATGGTGTGGCAGACCTCTCATGTCTGGCCCGCAGCTCCCCTCAGCAGTGTATTTCTTCAGTCTGCCTGTTCTTTTCCCCATTCTGTCTCTGGTGAATCCTCTCACCCTCCCCCACATCTGGCCTGTACCCCAGTTCTTGATATAAAAATGAATAAATCTTAAAAAAAGAAAGAATGATTTGGGTATTTTAGGACTAGGCAATTGAGAAAATGAAACTATTGATGGTTTCTGGCTCCTAGTCCCCTTGCTTTCCTGAACTGGAGTCCATTAGTTATAGTCCTGGCTCTAGAGCTGCATGAATACGTCACTCCTCACGGGCCTCCTTCAGAAGGTAGGGGAGCACGTGCACACACACTCACACTTACACATTCACACAACCAAAGCTTTAGCCCAAGGGGCCTCTTGTCCACATACACCAAGAATTTCCTCACCTTCAAGCCATTCCTTAAGCTTCCTGTCCCTCATTTTCTTGTTGGCAAATTACAAGCTGTTTTCCTGGCAACAGCCTGCCCATTGCCTCCACTATAAAGATGTCACTCCCAGAGCATCCATCACTTCCTCCTGTGGATTCAAGGAGTGCTCTTGTACCCACCTCTGCTGTAGCTTCTAACAAAGTACATTTTTATCATCCTGTTTCTAGAGCCATCATTGTCGTTTACTAGCTTTATTAAGAGTGGGATCCATTACCTTTGTCTCTATCCACAAACTAATGTAAAGACTCATATGCATGCAGTTGTTCAAATAATGTATTTCCATTTCCAACCTAATGAATCGGGGACTTTGTTTATGGGCAAATTATATAAGCATATTAACAGTGATCAAAAAATTCAAAATCATTTCTCCCAAAGGTACAAAGCTGTCACAGATGCCTGTTCTCTTCAGCCAGATATTGACTTACTACCATTTGGAGACCAAACTGAAATCGGAGAGCGGGTGAGCTGTGTATAGTTTCCTTAAGCTGGGAGCCAACATCTAGAAATCTTGTGGTTGTCTTGAGCCTTTCGTGGAGCCTAACAAAATCTGAGCCCAGAGGAGTTGCATGTTGCCATGGTGATAAGGCCCAGAAGCCAGAGCACAGAACCCTCTGATGTCCGCTCCCTTAAGTATTTAAGTAACCATCATACACTTGACACTGCGTTGCCCACTCAAGAGGTCTCAGGGAAGATGAAGCAGCCATGCCTTGCCTCCAAGGTGTCTTCCTTACTTGGAGCTTACTTTAAGTTGATTTGGAAACTGAGGCTTCTGACAACTCACTCGACTCCTCTTGTCAATGTCTTGTATAAATATATCTTACACTTACGTCACAACTTGCTGACCCACTGAAAACTATACCTGAATGTAATCTTTGTAAGTATTGGCCAAAAATGTTAACCCTTATAGGTGTCAAATCCTGGGCAAAAGGTGTTGCCTAGATGATTGGCTTTTACAACAAATCTGATAAGAGGATGGTTTTGTGACCTACTTATTGCAGCTGAGAAAGTGACTGTGTTACTAGAGCTAATAGAGATTCGGGTACTTGCTCATTCACAAGTTAGGAATGCAGCTGTGATGAGTCTGACTCTTTGTGTGCCTCGTGGTGGTTCTTACTGCAGCAAACTATTGGGACCATGAACTTCACTCCTGAGGAGAACCAAACCTCATATTGGAATTCCGATGAGAAATAGAAGAAAGAAGGACTATAAAGCCATTTACCCACTAAATACTCGTTTAAAATTTTCACAATTAATTACTTGTTTATAAAAGTGAATTGCTGTACAGTTCTATTAAACATAACTTGTAATTTCAAATTAAGGCTAAGGACACTACAACCACAGTTTACAAAACTGGTCAATATTTGAGAATTGTTGCTGTCTTCAGCACTCACAAAGTGCTCTGGTTATAAATGCTTCTGGACAGCACAGTTTTCACTGTGAAGGGGAGATTAATGCTATCAGTCCAGGTTTACCTAACATAATTAAAATTTTTACCACTAGACTATTTTGTTTTAGCAATGTTATCATAAGTTCATTGGTAAGTTACATTCAGTTTAGATTTTTTAGAAAAGTTTGTATTTTAAAGGGATTTTTTTAATCAGTAGAGAATTTACTAATGGAAAAGGTGGATGTTTATGGATGTTTCTCTTCTAGGGCATTAACCTGAGCGGAGGTCAGAGGCAAAGAATCTGTGTAGCACGTGCTCTATACCAGAACACCAACATTGTCTTCTTGGTAAGAGCATGGTCTTTCTCTTTATTTCCAAGTGTAATATTTGTCAGTAATTAACTGGCTGTGTATGTGGGGGTTTATTTGTGGACTCTCTGTCCTGTTCCATTGAACTATTTGCCATTTAAATACCATTTTGTTTACTATAGCTTTGTAATCTAGTTTGAAACTAGGAAGTCTGATACCTTAAGCTTTATTACTTTGGCTATTTGGGGTTTTCTGTGGTTCCAAACAAATTTTAGGATTGATTATTCTATTTCTGTGAAAAACACCATTTGAATTTTGATAGAGTTTGCATTTTATTTGTAGATTGTTTTGGGTAGGATGGATATTTTAATGACATTAATTCTTCCAAACCATGAACACAAAATACATTTCCATTTGTGTTTTCTTCAATTTCTTTCAGCGGTGCTTTATACTTTTCAGTATACAGGTCTTTGACCTAATTCAAATTTATTTCTTAGCTATCTGATTCTTTTTGATGCAATTATAAATGTGATTGTTTTCTAAATTTCTCTAGTAGTTCATTATTGGAGCATTTGTTCATTGTTAGAATATAGAAATGCAGCTGGTTGTCTGTATTGACTCTATATACTGCACTTCACTGAATTCATCTATCATTTTTTTCCAACAGTTTCTTTGGTGGAGTCTTTATAGAGTTTTCTTTGCACAATGTCATGTCTGTCATCTGCAAAATAGTGACAGTTTTACTTCTCTGACCTGGATGCCCTTTATTTCTTTTCCTTGACTGATAATCTGCGTAAGACTGAGTATTATGTCAGATGCAACTGGTGACGGTTGGCAACTTTGTCTTGTTTTTGGTCTCAGGAAAAGCTTTCAACTTTCAGTGTTGAGATAATGTTAGCTATGGGCTTGTCATATCAGCTCTTTATTATGTTGAGGTACCTTCCCTGTAAACCCACTATGATTAGAATTTTCATCATGAATAGATGTTGAATTTTTTCTGCATTGACTGAATTGATTATGATTTTTACCCTCATTTTGTTAATGTGCTGTCTCATGTTGATTGCTCTGCAGATGTTGAACCATCCTTTCATCCCTGGAATAGATCTCACTCAATTGCATTGTATGATCCTTTTCATTAAGCTGTTGGATTCAGTTTCTTAATATTTTGTTGAGAATTTCTGTGTCTGTGTTTATCAAGGATATTGACCTGTAATTTTCTTTTCTTAGAGTTTCATTGTTTGGTTTTAGTGTACAGGTAATGCTGGTCTTATAAAATCATATTGGAAGTGTGTATTCCTATTTTTGGGAAAAAATGAGAAGGATTGTTATTAATTCTTCTTTAAATGTATGGTAAAATTTACCAATGGAAGCCACATGGTCCCTTGTTGTTGTTTGTGTGTTTGTTTTCTGGTTGGGGCATTTTTTAATTATGAAGCAATCTTCCAACTAGAAGTGAGGCTGCTGAGATTTTCTGGAACCTTGGGCAACAGCTGGGAAAGCATCTAGTCAAACTACATCTAGCAAAAAACTGGGCCGTGGGCATTTTTGCCTCCCTCTTCACAAAACCCCGGTGGGTAGCCATGGAGTTTGCTCCTGTACCTATTTAAAAACTGCTCCTTGTTACCTGTGGGATTCATAAATACAAGCCCTTTGGTTATTAGAACTGAGTAATTTGGGGGTTGCTCTCTTGGGAGGCACCCATAAAAGGTGGGGCACTGGGTATGTGGAGAAAGAAACACCTTCAGGGAGATACTGGTGACTTGGTTTTATTTTTTTTTTAAGATTTATTTATTTATGCATATAAGAACTGGGGTACAGGCCAGAGGTGCAGGGGGGTGAAAGGATTCATCTGAGACAGAGTGGAGAGCCGAACAGGTAGATTGACTGAAACACACTGCTGAAGGGAGCAGCGGGCGAGACAGGAGATGTCTGCTGTGCTATGTGGGTAGCTCCCTGGCCTACGAGCTGCAGAGGCTGCGGACAGCTTCACAGTGCTATGCTTAACCTCTTGTGCCACCAGGGAGGCCCTGGTTTTCCTTTTGAAGGGAGATGGGTATGGAAGCATCCACCAGTTTTCTCAGTAGGAGTGTAGTCAGCTGCCTGAGGCCCGAGGCTGGACCCCTGGGCAGAAATGTGGCAAGAACAGTCAAACCCCTTCTGGGGCATTTTCTTTGCTTGCTGCCCTTGCAGTGAGTCCTCAGGGGAGGGAGTGGAGGTGGCCCAGAGCTCCTGTGTCTGTCAGGAGGCCTGAGAACACAGCTTGGAGAACTGAGTGATTTGGGAATCTGTCCCTTGGATGGCAGCCTTAAAAGTTGGGGTACTACACGTTGGATCTCATGCCTTCATTTACCAGGGAGAAGCTGGGTATTGGGGCTTCCCCCCTGCCCCCCGCCCCGGTTGTATGGCACTGCACTGGGTGTGGTGTTTAGGGCATGAGTGTCTCAGGATTCTCCCCACTTTGAAGTGGGTATTTTCTCAGTTGCTCATTGACCCAAAGTGTAAGTCACTCAGCCAGTTTCTGGATTTCTTTCAGAGAAATATTATAATGAAGCCACTTTGATTACTGCTCTATAATTTTTTTATGATACACGAGAAAAGCTTTATTTTAATACCTTTTTTTTTAAATAAATTTTATTTTTATATTCCCCCATACAATTGCAAACCCCCCATTCTGACCCCAATCCCTCCCCTCCCGCCCCCCACCCCCCAAAAAGTGTCTCTGGTTCATAGTTTTTTGTTGATTTTGATTTTCACTTTCTTATAGTTATTCATTTTCCTGGTCCCTTATTTAAGTTTTCTAGATTCCTGCTATGAGTGAGACCATCAGGTATTTTTCTTTTTCTTTTTGGCTTATTTCGCTGAGCATGATCCCTTCCAGCGCCATCCATGTTGCTGCAAATTGCATGTGTTTATCTTTTTTGAATGCTGAGTAATATTCCATGGTATATATGTACCACATCTTCTTGATCCAGTCATCTATTTTTGGGCATTTGGGCTGTTTCCAAAGCTTAGCTATTGTAAACAGTGCTGCTATAAACATAGGGGTGCAGGTGTTCTTTGGAATTGATGTTTCTGTGTCCTTTGGGTAAATACCTAGGAGTGGAATTGCTGGATCATATGGAAGCTCTATGTTTAGTAGGTCCAGAAATCTCCACACAGCTCTCCATAGTGGTTGGACCAGTTTGCACTCCCATTAATACCTTTTCTTAAAATGTTAAAGGATTCTCATCTGTTTGTTATAAATTGGATTTAAGGTCTCACGTGCCTTTAGTTATCTGTATTTCTCCTTTCTAGAGGAAATGAGTTACCTAAAGCCAACAGAGATTTTTTTTAACCTCTCTCCATTTTCCTGGCCTCAGGATGATCCGTTTTCTGCCCTGGACATACATCTGAGTGACCACTTAATGCAGGAAGGGATTTTGAAGTTTCTCCAGGATGACAAAAGGACACTTGTTCTTGTGACTCACAAATTACAATACCTAACACATGCCGACTGGGTAAGAGCCTCAAGAGACTCTCCATTAATTTGTTAGTCATTTAATAAGGACATTAAGAAATGCTTTCTGAGATACAGGTAACTGTTTGGGCCATTTTGTCGCAGTTCTGCTAACATGTGCTTCTTTCCTTAGATCATAGCCATGAAAGATGGGACTGTGCTCAGAGAAGGGACTTTGAAGGACATTCAGACCAAAGATGTTGAGCTTTACGAACACTGGAAAACACTAATGAATCGGCAAGATCAGGAATTAGAGAAGGTGAGTCCTCGTCCTCTAGAAGAGCTCAGGAGCCATCAATACACCGTAGAATTACTAAGAGCTACTTTAAAGAACTACTACCATTTAGAATTTGATAATATGATTTCTATTTGAAGTTCAAAGTCTATATTGATCTGTTAGTAACAAATGGGCTACTTTGAAACTATAAAATTCTAATGATAACTTTTGGATGAAGTGCTATCAGGATTTTGGAGATTCTTTATCTGATTTTGAATTGATCTGAATTATATGTGTACTTGGCTTAGACTACTTGCCAAAGAATGTAGTAGTCTTATTTTATTTTGCCTTATATCTTATTTTTTCTCACCTATAATATGAGAATGTTTTCATGTGTCACCCTCAGTGATGGCAAAACAAAATCTGGTATGACTTTGAAAGAAGGAAGAACTGGGAGCTGTAGGTGACATTGTAAGGCATGTCTGGAGTAGGGGGTGAAAGAATGTGAGCAGAAGGAATTTTAAAAATTTTACATTTGCATAGTTTTTAAAGTCCAGAAGATTTAAATGTTCTCATTTAGTTCTCGAAAAACTCCAGACACAGCAAAGAAAATGATTTCATTTGTACCAAGAATAAAACTAGTTCTCCAAGAGGTTAAGTAGCTTGTCTAAAGTTGCACAGCAGATATATTTATTTAGTGGTACCAGTTGGACATAAACCAAAGGCCATATTCAATGTAATTTCAGTACTATATTATATATGATATAAATATAGCATTGACTGAGGTGATAAGAGTTGAATACCAGACTGAGTACAGTCAAAGAACAGCTTTGGTTGTGATGAGAGATGAAATGATAAATTAGTAAAATTTTCAATATGCTTTCTCTGAAATTGGGACTAGGAGTTATCCAGCATAATGTATCTTTGACCCGGAATAAATACTAAAATGAATGTTTATAGCAGCAAATTTCTGAGACTATCAAGAAATTAAAATGTGACCTTTTAGAAAGAAGTAAAAGGATCTGTGATTCAGTTGAGAGAAGATGATAAAAAGTCAGAGCCTGGGACTCCTCTTTCTTCTGTGGATTTGCCAAAGATCTCAAATGCACACTACCCAGCAGAGAAAAGATGTATGTTGAAAGCATAAATAGAAGGGAAATCATAGAACTTTGAAAATGAGAATATTATTCAAAAAAACGTAACAAGGTACCGTCAGCAAGTACCTAGTTAGGGATTAAGCTGTGAGAGCCGAAATGATAAATTCCCTGGGGTGGCTCCAAATGACATTTTTTCAGTGCTCTAAATGCCAGGGACAAAAGAAAATGACGTAAACTTAAGGAGTTGGGGCCATTTGTGGTTTACTTTGGACAGAAGATCGGGGGGAAAAAAAGAGCAAGTGAGAGCTATTGGCTTGTTCTCATGTTCTAGTAATACTGTTAAGCAAGCCAGGAAGAAAGTCCATTAAGTTGTATTTAGAAATAAAGTGATCACTCAGATAGCATGGCTCCATAATTGAAGACATATGACTTGGTGATAAATCAGTGGAGGGAGATGTAGGACGAGTTAGGGTGTGGACAAAGCGAAGCCACTTGTGATGTGGAATGGTAGCCAGTGGAAGCTAGAAGGAACCACACACCTGCAGGGCCTCATACCTGAGGCTGGAGGGAGCATGCTGCTTACTAGAGAAGGAGGGGCACCTGAACTCATCTGAAGCCCAGAGTCATGCTGTGGTCTACAAGATCAGTAGAACACTGGGTTTGGGGCCTGTCTTAATGCAGTTGTTTAATTTGTTAGGCAGAAGAATTGGGCATTTGCTAGAACACTGGTGTTATCTTTTAGGGGTCATTAGTCAACATCTAGAAATATTCATGTTGGTCACAATTGGGGCACAGGTGTTACTGGCATCTGGGGGTGCAGGCAGTGCACAGGGCAACCCCAGTTGTCCCCACATGCCCAGGCAGAGAGTAACAGGCCTCAAACCAGAACAGATCAAGCAAAAAGGACACTGGCAGACCACAGGGCTGAGATAAGGCTATTGGTGACTGGTTAAAGGGTAAACAGGAAATACATTAACAGGATAGCAATGACAACTACAAAAAGGCCAAGGAGGTGATTTAAATGCTATTTAAAAGCTAGCTTGGATGGCACCAACCATTATCTTCATGATGATATTGAGCGAAATAAACAAATTGATGTTCCCTCCCCAACCTCTAAGTCCTCACCTGGACCCAACTCCTAACAGACATTCAGTAAATATTTACTGAATAAATGAAACTAAATCTGTATTTACTTTATCCAAATATCAACAGAATTTAAAATATTTAACTTGTAATGAAGTTAATGTGAACATTTACTCCAAAGAAAAATTACTTTGAAGGTTTCTTTTTAAGTCTCCAAGATGGTAAATCTTTTACTTGCACAGCATGGAGAGCTGAACAAGAAACAAATCTTTCCCATGTGCAGGTCCATTTAATTACACTAAACACACAAGACTGGAGCCTCTTTTATTTTATGTTTAATCTCATGTAAAGTGTTGGTTTTCATACCATCAGGGAAAATTAAAAGCTATTGTGAAATTGTCTCTGAAAAAATATACTCTTTTTAAACCAAGAATCTGGAAGCAATAGAGCCTTCTAGAATAGCAAGACTCCTAAATCACACATGTTATTTGAGGCCAAAACAAACCTCCAAAAACCAAGATCACTACCTAGAGACTGATCACCAAAGATTTATTGGTTTATTGATGTAACAGTCAAACTGCATTTTTTTTTTTTTATTTGGCACATACACAAAGCCCTCAAATTACCAGAGATTCCTGGAGTTTGCAGGTCAGTTATTTGGAACTCAGGAGGCATTTACCCACAGAATCAGGGATTTCGGTTTCCTAGTATGTCCTGCAGAACTTGACTGAGCCCACCCTGTGTAACAACTGATACTGCCATCCTATTATTGAGGCTGGGGGCACAGGAGTTGGCAGTGGGGACATGGAGAAAAGGAATTGCTTCTGGAGCAGAAGACAAGCCTAGAGCAACACTTAAATTTTTTTGTTTTGAAAATTAAAAATAGATCTACCATATAATTCAGCAATTCCACCCCTAGCATCTACCTGAGGAATGTAAAATCACTAATTTGAGGGGCTGTGTGCACTCCTGTGCTCATTGCAGCACTAGTCACAATAGCCAAGCTGTGGAAACAAACTGAGGCCCCAAAGACAGATGAGTGGATTAAGAAGATGTGGTGTGTACACACAGTGGAATACTACTCAGTCATAAAAGAAAGATAGTCTCTTGCCATTTGCCACGACAGGATGGAACTAGAGGGGATGGTGCCAACCAAAATAAGTCAGAAGGAGAAAGACAAGTACCAGATGGTTTCATTTTTTACGTGGAATAGAGCGAAACAAAACAAAGTATCTGACAAAATTAAGCATAAACCCTAGAAGTCTGACTGTAGAATTGAGGTTACAGAGGTGGGGGTGCAGGGGGCGGTGGAGGGGTCACAAAGGACTGTGTGGAGGACCATGGGTCCCTTAGGGGTGGGTGTGCTGTGGCACGTATCTGAACAGTGGGGGAACTGCGCCCTGAAATCATACAGTATTATAAACCCATGCTACCTCAAGAATTTATTCTGGGTCCCTTCTCATTTCCCTCTCCCTGGTCCTAAACATCCAGGCACCTAAGGACCTTGCCTCTCATTTGCTTCCGGGTTACCTGTTTCCCTTCAATTCCCGTGGCAGCTCCTTTCTCTTAGTGAGGTGGGAAAGAAACTCATTCTGATTTCATAATCCCTAGTCATGACGGATGACTGACGCCCCTCTGACCAAACCAGAACCCCATTATTTTTAGACAAAGATATTTATGAATGTTCTTATGATGCCACTTATTATTTTTAGTGAAGTAACATTCTGTTACACGAGTCTCAGGTATTCGTCGCTGAGACTCAACACGTGTATATCGGTATGTTAAGGTTACTGCTGAGAGAGAGAAATGACAGGAGCATCTAAAAGTGGTGTAAATATTTGAGGCCGCGGCAGAACTATGCTCGTGGGCCCGAGAAGTGACTCCCCTGCCCTGGGCCTGCCCAGCAGATTGTTACTCCTGCTCCTGGCTGCCTGCTGCTCCCACCTCCAGGCTCTGAAGCTCCCCTCAGGTGTACCCCCACACCTCTTATGGCAAGAGGTAGAGCTCTGGAGTGAGTAGGGGCCCAATCATGGGAACAGCAATGTTACAGTGGGTGCTGCGGGGTGAGTCCAGGCCAGGCTGGGGCCAGGAGGTCCCTGAGTGACGGCACTGTGCCTCCTGCAGGATATGGAAGCCGACCAGACGACATTAGAAAGGAAGACTCTCCGAAGGGCCATGTACTCGAGAGAGGCCAAAGCCCAGCTTGAGGATGAAGATGAAGGTGGGTCTTGTTCCAAGCGTTGGCAATTATGGGGCGCGTCACCTTGAACACAGACGTGTGTGTCGGTGAGGAATGACAAGCCACTTTGCAGGGCGCCAATAGCTGAATCAAATGCATAATGCTGCAAATGAACAGGAGTGAAGGGGCAGGGCACAGGCTCAACCAGTGGCCATCCTGAGGGTGTGCCCTGTGCGCCCTGCTAGCTCTGTGCGCTGTGTGAGAAGCAAAAGAAAAAGACAAATAGGAAGCACAGTAGATCAAGCCCTGGTTCTGATATGGTGGGCAGGTCCCATCTAATGACTGAATCAAGTTATGAATAAAATGTCCATCCTTTGGATGTAAATCATGAATGGGGATGCTGGAGAAAATGCTGTTTTGAAATACCTATACTTGAGTCATTCAGTAAGTCCACATGGGGTTTTCATGACAGTGTAGCAATGAAGGAGAAGAGAATTAGAAAGCCATTTGTTATGGTTTGTTTTCTGCATTTAATAAGGTATAATGGGGGCGGGGGAGATTTACTGGAAATATGAGAGAGGAGATGAAATAATTACATTGCCTTGGCCTTTGTTGCCAAGAAGTTTGTAAGGTAAATCACACTTTAGTCCGTAGTGTAAATGCACTATGCTTCCATTTCCCCTATGCAATTTTTGCTTGACTGTTCCTGCAGGTGAGTAAAGAAACAGAAAGAGTGAATCCTTTCCAAATGAAGAAGACCAGAGTATGCCACCTTTTCATTTCATAGAACTGTTCAGTGTTTCAACAAATGTTGAGTAAATGGATGATGTTTTTAAGGAATGTTTGGTGCTGTCAACAGGCATGTCAAATTCTCTAGAATTCTAGGGCAATTCCTTCCCATGCCCCTGAAGGCAAAGTCATGCCCAATTACTCTCTCTGGTGCTCCAGTGAGGGGTAGAAACCTGCCTTGGGCTTGCTGTGTAAATCTCTTTTCTCGAGTACAAAGTAAGATAGAAATATTTTCCTCACAGTAACATATAAAAGAAAGCTGAGTCTGGTATATCTACCAGTATGGTTGCTGCTCCTGGTCCATCAATATGTCTGTTCAGATCACCAGAAAGGGAAGAATGGAGATATGCGTATTGTTTCCACTGCTTAACACTGGCCACTTCCTCCTAGGGACAAAGTAGTTACTAGAAAGCCAAGGATCTGGTCTTTAGCTGGGTAGCCATAGGCAAACTGAACTTTCAATGAATATGGAAACAGCATGGATAAGGGCAGACAGCTAGCAGTCCCCATCCTTTGGTCATGCACATTTTGGTTCCTGTCCTCAGCCCTTGAACCCACCCTTGCCAAGGGAGAGATTATCCAAGACCTGTCCATCTGCTGCCTCCAGCTCAAGTATCGGGATGGTTGGTGAGGCTCAGTTGTCCTGTCAAATCCATATTTAGATATCTGTGGGCTGATGCCCCATCAACCAAAGACAAGTTGCCTGTCTTCCCCACACCCCAACAACCTGCTCAGCAAACAGCAGTACAGGACACTCAGGGTAACGGCCATGCAGCCACCCTTCCCAGAGGGAAGAAGGGGAAATACACAGTCACCACTGGCATGTCCAAGTGATTAGATTTTACTGCTCAGAAAAGGCCCAGTTCCCTGGTCTCATCATGGAGGGTGCTCTTGGAGTTTCCAGATGGTTTAAACACCTGAGAGGAGTTCCCTGGCCATTGTCCTCTGTGGCCCTGGCTTTGTGCTCTGGAAGACTCTCCTTCCTGGGCTCCTCATCTAAAATGAGCTATGGAGAGCATAGTGTCTGCTTGGGCTATGCACAAATGTTGCAGCCTATTTCCTCCTGGTACAGTTGTACAGATTCAGAAATTTAGAATTCAACAAATTATAAATATGGCGGATTAGGCATGTGGTTTTACTGGCAACCCAGTTCCTTCAATAACTTAGTATATGTCTGGTCTACATTCCCAATCAATTTGATGTGACATGTTATCTCATGCAGAGTATTGGTTTTACTTCACTCTTCACCTTTTTTTATAAAGAGTGTTTTCCCTACTCCTATTTAGTCTTAAAATATAAAATGAGAGGATAATCTTTGTATTATTATTTTTTTTACATCTTTTTCATTTTTGTACAATGGATGCATTTTCATCTTGGTTATAGTCCCCATAAAATTTCCACCACCCATTCACCCATGAACTATCAACATGGCCCCTGTGCTTTTCCCACCCTTGTTTTGATCCTACTCCTTTCTCTCCCACCCCCACTGTAGTATGTCTCTGATTTATAGTTGCCTGTTGATTTTGATTTTTACTTTATTATAGTTTTTTCCCTGATTCCTTATTTGGATCCTCTCTATTCCTGCTATGAGTGAAGCCATCTGGTATTTTTCTTTTTCTTTCTGACTTATTTCACTGAGCATGATCCCTTCCAGCTCCACCCATGTTGCTGCAAATGGCATGAGTTTATCTTTTTTGGTTGCTGAGTAATATTCCATTGTGTATATGTAAGAGAATCTTTGTGGGGAGTGATAGTACAAATTCTATCTAGCTGTTACCCATCTGAAGCTTAACAAGTGTTTTGTTTGCAGAGGAGGAAGAGGAGGAAGATGAGGATGACAGTATGTCCACTGTGTTGAGACTCAGGACAAAAATGCCATGGAAAACATGTTGGCGGTACCTCACATCTGGGGGCTTCTTCTTGCTCTTCCTGATGATTTTCTCTAAGCTTCTGAAGCATTCCGTGATTGTAGCTATAGACTACTGGCTGGCCACATGGACGTCGGAGTACAGTATAAACACTGGAAAAGCTGATCAGGTACCAGCGGTTAACAGTACCACCCTCTTATCTAGTAGGAGCTCTTGGTGATTCAATAAGCTAATGATTCTCCTAGGGACTGAATTAGAGTGAGTCATTAACATGGAATCTGGTATTGGCACTTTTATTTTTTTTTTACTTTATCATGAACATTTCAAGATAATGTGTCTTCCCCTCAGAATGACTCCATTCTGAAGATAATGTTTGAAGATTTGAAGATAATATTTAGATTTGGAGGCAAGGGTGTGACATGCTCATGATGTATGTGCAACTCATAGCTGGGGTTTTGGGTGCTGTTTGATTTTTTTATCCTTACACAATTTAAGAAAATTTTGATAAATATGAAACTTAGTTGTTGACTTTAAGAAATATTGTGAATTTGAAAAAAGTCATAATTATGAGGAAAACCTATTTCACAAAATCTAATGATGCCAGTGGACTAGCTGGTCATTCTAAGCTCCGGGAATACTTCACACCCAAAAACAGACTAATGCCTCAGCAGAGCAATCCTTAAAATCGAGAATGAAGAAAGCATATGGGGACATGGCATCAAGATAAAGCTTGAGCTACTACCCTGAGTCTCCAAAGACTGTACTCCTGCCCCTGTCAAACTTGGCACAAGATAATGCAGCTGACAGGTTGTCTGACTGTGATACTTATTCTCTAAGAAAACACTGAATCGATCATTTCTTATGTGTTCTTTTGTGTTGGGTACCTTTTAGACCTACTATGTGGCTGGATTTAGCATACTTTGTGGAGCAGGTATTTTCCTCTGCCTTGTCACATCTCTCACCGTGGAATGGATGGGTCTCACAGCTGCCAAGAATCTTCACCACAATCTCCTCAATAAGATAATTCTTGGACCAATAAGGTAAAACAGCAGTTATTTCACACTCCCACCCACAAAATCATAAAACCTGTATTCTACTTTAAATAAGGGATGAAATTTTTGAGATTTCTTCAGTCCTGAGTAACCAAATAGAGACCTGCTCATTTTTGTGACTCCCAAATGTCCATTCTCAGTGCTCAGTTTCCAGAATGGTCGTTATACATTTCGCTCCATTTATTGCCTAGGTTCTTTGATACCACACCCCTGGGACTGATTCTGAATCGCTTTTCAGCAGATACAAATATCATTGATCAGGTGAGTGCCCAAGTTATTTTCAGGTTCAAAAGTAAATTTCTTAATGTAAGCATTTTAAATTAAATCATGAATCCTCTTAATAGAGGATTTCTAAATTTAAGTGAAGACCTGCTTGTGTTTATTTTGATGTGTGTGGTAAAGGACATCTGAGATTAACTTTCAGATCATGAAGTCTCTAGAAGTTTATCTTGAAATTAAAAACCTCAAACTGAAATTGGATTACCCCAAGAGCAGATCCTTTGGGTGACTGAGAAAGGTATCCATGAAGTCTGGCTTTTGCTTTTTCTGATTTCTCTAGAGTAGTCTTAGAGATACCTAAATAACCCTCACTTTAGAAGAATGCTTGATGCATGTAGTGGACCCAAAAGTCTGCTGAGAATTTGTTCATTTAAAATAAATAGCACTTCACTGTTGGTGGGAGTGCAAACTGGTCCAACCACTATGGAGAGCTGTGTGGAGATTTCTGGACCTACTAAACATAGAGCTTCCATATGATCCAGCAATTCCACTCCTAGGTATTTACCCAAAGGACACAGAAACATCAATTCCAAAGAGCACCTGCACTCCTATGTTTATAGCAGCACTGTTTACAATAGCTAAGCTTTGGAAACAACCCAAATGCCCAAAAATAGATGACTGGATCAAGAAGATGTGGTACATATATACCATGGAATATTACTCAGCATTCAAAAAAGATAAACACATGCAATTTGCAGCAACATGGATGGCGCTGGAAGGGATCATGCTCAGCGAAATAAGCCAAAAAGAAAAAGAAAAATACCGGATGGTCTCACTCATAGCAGGAATCTAGAAAACTTAAATAAGGGACCAGGAAAATGAATATAAGAAAGTGAAAATCAAAATCAACAAAAAAACTATGAACCAGAGACACTTTTTGGGGGGTGGGGGCGGGAGGGGAAGGATTGGGGTCAGAATGGGGCGTTTGCAATTGTATGGGGGAATATAAAAATAAAATTTAATATTTAAAAAAAATAAATAAATAAATAAGTAAATTAAAAAAAAAATAAATAAATAAATAGCACTACCAAAAATCTAGTTTCCATCCATCATCTTACAATTGACTGCCTCTGCTTCATCCATACCCTGATGTACTGAGGAATTTTGCTGTTTTCATGGCACTGTTGTCAGGACACACCACTGCTGAAACACTTCATAAGGAATACATGCTGGGAAAGAAGAGACAAAGTAGTCATTATCTGGAAGAGGAGTTGAATGCTACATGCAAACTTCAAAATGATTAGTACATTAGTCACAAAGCTCAGCAGAGTGTCTGCATAGGACATAGTGTATACAAATCAGTAGCCTTCTCTCAACCAGAGTAACTGGGAGAAAAAACTCACGTAAAGAGAAAGAAACTTTCATATTATAGAAAGAGCATCTAAAAATCAATACATCAATAAGTCAAAACTATGAAGAGTATGGAGCTAGAAATTACAGAAACTTAAATGTCTTACAGTAGAGAAAGAGCTAGATAGGTTTTTAATGCCAAGTAACCATTAAAGAGAAATCTGTATAAGCTGGGAAGATTTACAATGGTCTCACTGAATAAAATAAAGCCCATGGATAAATAAGATATACAGTATAAGACCATTTATCTAAAATCCCCAAGATAAATTGGTCGATAACTCACCAAAGATAAGTGGATAGGTAGGTGGATGGACAGATTAAATTCTGGGAAGTGAATCAAATTTTCTTGCAATGAAAATTTTGTTTTATAATTAGCTTATTGCTTTTTTAATTTTATGACTATTTTATTGCTTTGTAACTAGCATTTTGTTGAGCTGAAACATTTTCCTTTGAAACTACCTTCTTAACAGCACATTCCTCCAACGCTGGAGTCCTTGACCCGATCCACGCTGCTCTGCCTGTCTGCCATCGGCATGATTTCTTATGCCACGCCAGTGTTCCTGGTTGCTCTCGTGCCTCTCGGAGTCGCCTTCTATTTCATCCAGAAATACTTCCGCGTGGCTTCGAAGTAAGTAAAGCAATGCTCTGTGCATCTTCCAGAGCCTACCTGTTGGATTTATCGTGAGCCACACCTTTGCGCTAGTGTTTCTTCAAGTGAACATATGGATTTCTATTTCAATCCTGAAGCCTGTGCTGATGCGTGTTTCCTATGGAGAGCTATGATAAGTGTGTTTAGGATTGGTTGTGTGAACCTTACATAGCCCTGGACAGAATTTAACATGTGGATTGATCTCTTGGGGATAGTCCGAGGACCCCAAACTCAAGTTTTCATTTCCTGGTCCATTCTCTGAATGTGACAAGGACAGAAAACTTACAAAATCAGAGTCCCCAAATGATAAGTGACTTAATATATCAAAACATCATAATACTTCACAAATGAGGGGGAAATGGTAAAATACATTCTGTAAAAAGGTAGTGGAAGTAAAGAAAAATCAGTGACAGTAAAAGGAACTTTGAAAGTCTGATAGGAATGCTGTCACTTTAAGAGACCAGCAATTTGCAGATCAGTTCATTTCACACGCATTTGAGTATCTAGCCAAATAAATAAAAGATAGTCATGAGCTTCAAATTCTTTTGTTAATACAGGATTTGTTACTTGATGAGATCATGAATCGTTAAGTGAAATGTAATACTATTTGTTTTGAAATTTCCAGTTTAACTTTGAAGGGCTGCTATAAATAGTACAGTACATTTTCTATCTTTGCAAAAATCACTTTATTTCAACAAACATTTATTAAGCACTTACTGTGTTGTAAATAATTACATAAGCCATGTGGTAGATGAAGCGATCAGCAAGACAAAAACCTTCAAGAAATTTACTGTCTCTTGGGAAGAGAATATATATATTAAGTCACCCTTGATTGTGAATTAAGTGCTGGGCCAGAAAGGTAGATGCTGACTTTATGAACTGAAAACATTGAATAGGACTTGAGTGCAGGGGAAAATGATGGAAAGCAGGGAAAGGTTACAAGGAAAGACAGGATCATAACTGGGAACCTTGAAAGATACACATTTCTTTCTCTTTAAAAGTATTCAATTACTTTTAACAATTTTACTGTATTTATAAATGTAGTGATATTGGAATTTTTTTTAAGGCTGGAAAACTCTTCTCCTTTCCCTCCCACATGCCCAGTATCTCTACCAGTCTGTCCTCCTACCCAATTGGTATTAATTTAAAAAAAATCTCTCTCCCTCAAGTCTCTGAAGTAGGGTCCTTCAGGAATCTATTTTATCTTCATCCTCTTCTTGTAGCAAATTTAGATCAAAAGGGTGAGGGGGCCATCACATGTCCTCAGTGATGTTTTCCAGTGTCACTGCCAGTGCTGCCTGCTGGACTGGAAAAACAGCACAGAGTTTATTTCTACTGGCTGTCTCCAAATATGTCCTTCCCACTGAAATACCAGTCCGCTCTTTCTTCAAGCACATATTCATGTGGGCCTGTGCTCACCCTCTAACAATACAAATTGAGTACAAATACTCCTCAAATAGTCCTAGTCCATTATAAACTTGAACAGTGAGTTCTGTTCACCATAAACCAGGATAAGCTGTTAACATTAATAATAAGCAAGTAAAATACTAATGAGTAAAACTCATGTTTACAACTTAACATTGCTAATGGGCAATGCACATTCTTCCTTAAAACTCTATGAAACTTAGCAAATAAGGCCATCTCCCAGCAAAAAGAACTTTGTAGGTTTTGACTAGCAGGCACCCATAACTCAGAGACATTCTGCGAGGGAAGGGGAAGAAAAGGGATCAAAACAGGAGAGGGAAGAGTACAAGGGACTATGGTGACGGTTCACAGGTGAAATTGGTGGTGGGGATTTTATGGGAACTACACAGTGATGTAAAAGATATAAATTTTTAAAAAATGTTAAAAAAAAAAACCTTGTAGGTTTTGAGGCTCTGCAGGACTCACCCAGGTTAAAAAAACTCAGACAACTTAACTATTTTGTAATACCCAAAAGAATTTGAGTGAAGGACTAGCTACAGGAAATGCCATAAGATTCAGAACATCTAAACTCAAAGATATAATGGGTGGTTAGCCTGCAAGTGTTTCCTACTTACAAGAACACAAAGTCAAGCTGTACCCTCACCTGTGGTTTCGTGGCATCACAGTCCTGTAAACAAAGTCTCCTCCTTTTTAATTTGTTTCCTTTTCCCACAAACCTCAAGGAAGTAGCCACCTGTTGCATGTCAAGTTTACAAACAGTCACTTCATTTTGCATTTAGAAATAGCAGATTATCCACATTCCTTCATATTCCTCTTCCTCCTCCCTTCCTCTTGCAGTCTCTGATGTGTGCAGGTCCATGTTAGGAACTCACTGCTACCTGCATTTCTTGGTGGGACTGGGCAGTCAGCCCAAGTTAATTGTTGGAAATTATGTAACAGTCCGTGACTTGGGTTGGTTCTGGCAGGTGACTGTCAAGGATTTGCTCTACTTGCTTATACATGTGGGATCACCCTTCACCTGTCTTCTAGAAATGCCAGCTGGTAAGGTTTAGAGCCAAGTTTCATGAGTGCACATCTTCACAAAAAACAGCAGTCAGGCATGTGTCCACCGAACATTCACTGAACACTATATAGGGGGAGGACCTGGGCATTGACCGCCCATGAAGGCAGGGATTCATTCTCAATGTGGCCAGAGCCAACCTCATTATCTTTTCCTTTAAATCTCTGCATCCTGTGTGCCCCAAGCTGGGAAATAGCACTGTCATCTTTCAGGTCTCCTGCCAAGCTACACACAGCCCTGCCATATTTGACTCTTCTCTTGTTCACCCAACTAATTGATCACAGCAGGTTAGAAGGCTGCTTCTAAGGGCCAGTCTCATAAACCTCCTTTTTCAAATCTCACAGTAACTCAGAACTACCTTCACTCTCCTGTTCTCTTTCATCTTTTACACTCTCTCCCAAGGTACATCGCTTAATCACACTCTGCTCATTTTATTTCTAGACTTCAGTGGTTTTTGTCCCAGGTGCTCCCCCCCCCCCAGGAGTCTCTACAGCCTCCCCCTCCATCCTTTCTAGTCTTCTCTCACTGCAACACCCCCACAGGACTGTGGGCCCAGCCAGAATGAACTTGCCAGGCTCTTTAATTATCTTGTTCCCTAAGGGAGCGCATATCAGCTCTGTCTTACTGAACCTTCCCTATGCTTGAAGTTTGGCCCAGATTCCACTTGTTCAAAGAAATTATTCCCATCTCCTAGGAATGAATTTGTTCATTCTTGTGTCTCCTGAGCAATTTTACTCCAGCTGTTGCACATGCTGATCTTTTGGTACAACATATTCAATATAGATTGTACCCAAATTCATTATGTACCTACCACCTTATCTTCAGATCATAAGCTATTGATTTTTGCTTAATAGAGAAAAAGTTATATTAATAATAAACTTAATTTGGAATGAACACAGCAATTTCTGACCCTGATAGAGTTGGAGCTTATTTTTGCACCTCTCTATCCTAGGGATCTCCAGGAACTTGATGACAGCACCCAGCTCCCTCTGCTTTGCCACTTCTCAGAAACAGCAGAAGGACTCACCACTATTCGGGCATTTAGGTGGGTAAGCCTGTTTTCATTTTCTGGATTATGCAATTACACCATCAACAAATATTTTATTTATAAAGAAATGATAATTGCCACCATTTTGGGGGGATGCTCACTGTGCTTGGTACAGTGCGGTCTTCAAATGGCCATAAGAAGACAAAATTTCATGTGAATAGCAGCAGCATTGACACTTGTATCACGTTAGAGGTTACCTTTCATAGTGATGAACCTTCATGCCAGTAATACAGTGACATAACCTCCTCCCAATAATACAGTGACATAAAGTACTAAATCACTTCCTGGGCAGACCCCATCTCCAAATAGTTGATACAATAAGTAGTCAGTGTGGTAGGCAAAGAATCAGCATAGAGGTGTCACAGAAGTTAAAGCAAGCAAGCATTTTGAAAAGAAATGGAATAGTCCATGGTGATAGCAACAGAGATCAAGTAGAATAGAAAGAAATTGAAAGAGCTCCAGCAGTGGAGATGGTGACCCTGAAGCTATCAGTATCTTTAGCAAGAACATGGAAGTGAAGTGAAGAGAGGAGCGTTAGAAATTCATTGGATGTGAACATGGCAATGGCAAGGGTTGGCTATAGCAAGGGATGGCTGCTCTTTCCTGGGCACTAATTAGGGGAAGTTTTTTACTGATTTTTTTTCCAGGGGGGTAGTAAACTGGACATTTTTAAAGCTGAAGGGAAGACAGAGATAGAGGCAGGATAGACAACTGATCAAGCAGTTCCTCAGGGTAGATCAGCAGGGATGAGTTCAAGTGCCTGGTGGAGAGGAAGGATAAAGCCCTTCACAGCTCGGGAACGGATTTAGGCAAACAGGTAGGTGTATCAGCAGGAAATTGATGGGTTCAACACGTAACAACTTTAATTTCATTTTCTCAGAGTGATGAGAACTTGATCAAGGAAAGGCCCTCAAAATAAAAATGAGGAAGGTTTCCACTGAAAGAGCAACTTGACTAAGAATCAAGGTTTAGATTTTTCATTTACTGCCTTCATTAGACACGCGAGCAAAATTTAACATGCCGAGTCCTAATTTAACCTTTGGAAAATTCTGGATATCTGGAAAAAGAACAAATTACCTGTTATCCTTCAATTCTTAAATTAAGATTGGAAGAAGCAGAAGACAACCCAACTTCTACCCAAAAGTGGAAAATTTTCTTTTATCCAGATTTAGAAAATTTTAAAAAATAAATTGTAAATACTACAAATAATAGCATTTTTAAACCAAAGGGAGTTAGGAATTGTACGGATGAACCTACTAGCCTGGATTAGATTCCAGAATCTCTGTTTGGTACTGGTGGTGAAGAATTCAGACACATTCTATTCTGTCCATTTATTCCTTTCTTCCAGCTACACGGATTCCCCAGAGTCTTGAGCTCTTTTGGAAAGTTAGTATTTACTGATTAGCTGCTTTTCCTCCCCTGTACTCAGGGTTCATGGTGTACTCACATGTAGCAGTGAACTCCCTCAAGTAGTTTACCACGAAAGTATCACAGTTAAATTAGACTGAGATTTCAGTGACCTTTCCTATTTTTTTGTCTGACAGAATAAAGGTCTAAGAATGTTCAGAAGATGAGCTGGATGTGGATGAAAAGATACAGACTGAGTGTGTCAAAGTTTCCATTAGGAAAACAGAAGGTTTCTTGCCAAAGAGAAACACACAGAAAGAATGTTCACTGCATTTCCACCCCTCCCCTCTCACTGCTGCTTCAGGCTGTTGCCAGCAACATTTACCAACTCTTTTTTTTTTATTTATTTTTTTGTGGGACCCTCGCTGCGGGGGGCCGGGGAACGAACCAGCGCTGCAGAGGCTGCGGGCAGCCTCACAGCCCAGCGCTCAACCTCTGCGCTACCAGAGGAGGCCCCATTTACCAACTCTTTAAAAGTTTGTCTGAAATGATATCCCAAAGCTATAGGAGGAATAAACGAGATCAGACAAAACACTTTATCAGAAGAGTGTCTGAGGTCCATCTCAGATGGGGCCCATGGGTTGCGGTCCAGGTGGCCGCATTTCCACCTTCCCCATCACCACCTTTTTTTCTAGGGAGAGGGCCCCGTCCGGAGCTCTGGACATGTGGAGTTTCTAATCTTTGTGTCTTTGCAGTGTGTCTTCTTTGAGAGCTTCCTCCGCCCAGGTTTACATGAAAAATTCAGCTCACCCCATAAACCCCCATTCAGATCACCTTCCCATTCCCTACGAAAACTTCAGTCTTTGCTTCCCACCATACACCACATTTCCTGCCGTCTGGATCCTCTGGTCGGTGCGGACCATCCCCGCTGTGTTTATGTAGCAGTTTGTCTATGGCTGTTAAAACTAGCTTCTGTGCTGCACGCTCTGCCCTTGTTAACACCATATGTCCCTCTTGTGCCAAACAATGGGCTCCTCAAGAGCAGAGGATGTTTGTGTGTATATTCTTTTTTTTTTCTCTGCCAGTTTTTTGTTTATTTTTATCAATTTTAGTGTATTTACACATAATTTTAAATTTAGTGTTATTTAGGCATTTCACACTAATTATGATCAGGATATATGCTCTACCAAATTCTAGATAAATTTTCATCAGAAAGAAATGCATGTCCTCCTTGTCTACATCCCCCATGAGGTTTTTTTTTTTTAATTTAAATTTTATTTTTATATTTCCCATACAATTACAACCGCTTACCAAATGTTTCCAAGAGAATGGATGATGAAAACCTACCTAGCACTGCAGCTACAGAAAGAACAGCCCTTACTGTATAGGTCTTTTTCCAGATCATATCCACTCTCTCAATAAAGGCTATTCCACCTCGAGCCCTGTTAGCATTTAACTTTTCACTCTTCATCTGAAAGGGTGCTCATGCTCCGAGGACTGCTCAGTCCCCACCCCACTAGGTTGCTGGTTCACAAGTCCTTCTGTGTGTGACATCTGGGTCAAAGCTACGAAACGCAAAATGAAGTAATTATTTGGCTCCAACTACCGAATCCTTTGATTATTGTAGATCAGATGTTGCTGTCGGACTCAATTATCTGATATAGCTGGTTTGGCATATTGGAATGATCAGATTGATTGGACGGATATCAAGTATCTGCTTTATATTGGCCTGTATGGATGATTTCATAGGCCAAGTGAACACCCCGCCCAGGATGTCTTCATTTTTTGACATAAGTGATGGTTTATTATAAAGTTTTACAAAATCAAAGCTCTGGGGGAACTTGAGGCAGTCTTATCAAAAAGGAATCACTGGGCCATCAGATGAAATCTGGCCATTCCTTGCATAAAAGAAGCATACACGAATGGACTGTGTCAGGCAAGCCAAGATGGCAGAGTGAACAAGGCACATTTTGATCTGGCATTTCCTTCAACCTTTAAACCAGTTATTTTAGTTTTATTATCCAGCTTTCCATTGTTTCTGTTATTCAAGAAAAATGAAGAGACTCTTTATGATTTAGAAAGTAACTGCTCTCTGACCAAGATTAAACTTAATTGTGTTGGAGAGCCCCTTTGCTGCACCTGTATTCCTTTTCACCTCTCTTTCCTTATTTGGTTCTCAGAAACACCAAGCAAACAGAAAATTTCAACTATATATTTGCCTGTTGCAAGAACATTTTCCTGCCTTCACTGGGTCTCTTCCATCACCTTCCACCCAATTGCAATCATGCCATTTTGAAAAGCAAAGTAAATACACTGAGAAGTAGTTAGAAAATGTCACAAGTTACAGCTTATTCTGACTTCTGCAATGCAAGCCATGCTTTGTTCTCGTGGCTGCAATTATTATGTGGAAATTTATGAACTGATCTTCAGTAAGACTTCGCCATCAGAATGGTTCCTTGTTGCAGCAGAGGTTTGAGAAAGGAAGAAAACACTGGCTGCAGTTGTGAGCAATCTTTATTTTAAACTAGGAGTTCACTTACTAGGCATTCCATCCCATCACTTTGTCACTATGTTGAATAAATAGTGTAGTAGTAAGTGTGACTGTTTTTTATTATTTCTCCTGTTGTGTGGCTAACATCATAATATTTTTATTTTCTGCAGGCATGAAACCAGATTTAAGCAACGCATGCTGGAACTGACAGACACAAACAACATTGCCTACTTATTTCTCTCAGCTGCCAACAGATGGCTAGAGGTCAGAACGGTACGTTCATCTCATGATTTCGAAATGGAAACCAAACAGAGCAGTTAGGCCTGATGCAAAGAGGGAGACAGTTGTAAAATTTAGTCTTTCACTGAGATTCAGCACCAACTTTGCATTTTCTGGACTTTAAATAGCTCAGGTTTATTTATGTTACGCATGAAATTTGTCCTAATGTTTTCGCTAATGGCATGACAAATAGCCCAAAAAGCAAAAATTCATTTTGTGTTCATTAGTCTCTAGATTACATAAGTTAATGGAATGGTAAATATTTGTATAACTTCAAATTTTTTCAAAAGAGCAAATTTGACAAGTGAGCAGATGTACTTATTTCCTTCACTGAACCAGGCAGGGCTTGAATGAAATGGAAAAGCAAGCATATGCTTTGGCATCAGACAGATTTTGGTCTTGCAAGTTAACTTGAGTCCTAGTTCTTCATCTATAACTTAGGAGTAAAAATATGAATGTAATGGTGGTGTCAGAACTAATAATATGAATCCCCTAGTTGACCAACTGGAATGCACTCAATAATGTCTTTTGAATGGATGGATGAACAAATGGAAAAGGTACCTGTGATGGTCAATGGTTCATAAATCACCCGCGGACCAGTTTACATAATCTATAGCAAGAAAAGAGTAACTTTGATATTAATGAATGGAGTCTTAATATATATATTTATATACATTAAATTGTCCATCTATTTGTGAAAAGGAACAGGAAGTTATCTTAACTATTATAAGAAACTCTGCCCTACTGATTAATAAAAGCATCCCTACCAAAAGACTTCCTTCAAAACTCAGCAGCCAGGAGATGAGAGATAGTAAAGGGGATTTGATGAAGCAGAAATGAAGGCGCACCAGTTGAAATCTCAGTTGCTGATGGAGAAACACAGATTGAAATGGAGTCGTAGACTTCTCCCTCCCCCACCTTCCCTGTGATCTCTAGCTGTCATGATTTCTCACTAGTTTAGATTCTCTGGCTATTAGAAATTATTTAGCAACATCACAATTATAGATGGAAGTATTGGTTGGTAAATTCCTTCCAGAGGTGTTGTGGGGATTAGGAGGAAACAGGGCAGTATTTCCCCTGAGTTGCTTATAGATAGCATGAAGGAAGGTACAGTGTTGTTTAGGATTTAGGATAAAACCAAAATATTATTCCTACATTCTATCCAGACCCTAAATCCTTGTTTTAAGCTTGTTTGTTTAGATCTGTTTTCTCTAAGTTTGAAAATACACCATATCTGAATATTAGAATTGATGAAATAGCTTAATGAAAGAATGTCCCAAAATCAAAGGGAAACATGATAGTATAATAGTTACTTCTGTATGTGATTTCTCTAAACTTGAAGTTCAAGTGTTTACTCTGGACTTGAAGTGCATGTCTCCCTGGACTCCTGTTACTGCTCATAATCACTTCCTAAGGTCAGGTTAATGGACAAGTGTTGAACAAGAATTTTCAAGCAAACCGTATGTTCTGTTTTCATAGCTAGAGACAAGATATTACAGTCTTTAGACTGCCAAGAAAGAACAGTAGCCAGATTCAGAATGGGCTAGTTTCCTTTGACTCACAATTCATTATTTTAGCCCCTGTGAAAAGATGGTAGAATTTGTTTGTATGTAAAAGAACTCTAGGTCATCAAGTATGATCCTAAAGAAAGCATTGGCATTTAAAACAGCAAGTAAAGAATCTGCCATTTTTAACTTATTATACATTTGTTAGTATTTCATTTTCTTTGTGCTATAATCCTTCTAAGAGATTGCTGTCTACCTCTCATTACAAGACTGTGCTCTTAAAGATCAATGCAAGTAATTAAGGAATCTTTTAGTCTCTATTTCTATGAGCAAAGGTAAATTTTGGTAAGAAACATAAATGCAAAATTCTAAGTATAATTTTCTCACACCAGTCATGGCCAAAGTCCTCTTTGTATGATTTGTTGCTAATATTTTTGTGTGAATAGGGTTGTTTTTGAACACACACTACACACACACCCTCTACTTGATCCCAGGATCTAACTTAAAACCAGTGAGAGTCCTCATTAGAACAGGTGTATTTGAATTAAATGCTTTAATCATAAAACCAGTGAGATCTAACTTAAAACCAGTGAGAGTCCTCATTAGAACAGGTGTATTTGAATTAAATGCTTTAATCATAAGCCCCAGTGGTAGTAGAGAAGAAATTAAGTAGATGGCACTTATTAGGAAATAACCTTTCTCCAGTCACACACATAAAAATGACCTCATGACTACTGTGTTTCTGTGAAGATGTCTACATCGCTGGAGACACAATTTCAATCTGAAATAAATGACTATGTAAATATGAAAGTTGAGATACAGGACCTTGGAGACTAGGGTGTGAACTGTTCTCAGAGCCCCACAGCTGGACATATTTTGTTAAATGACTTACAAGGCAGAATAAGTAATGGAAACTTCTAGCTGGCCCAGTGAATCTGCATTGATCTTATCCACATTATCAACACAACCCCCTCCTTTCCCAAGTCTTTGCCAAACTATTCAGTAAATTAACAAGAGTCTCTGCTTATAGCAGATATTCTTGGGCTGCCAGTACAGAAACAAAGAGGGAAGCAGAGAGTCACGTAGGAATTCCTGATGCAGATCTGGGATTTCACCAACTCTCATTCACAGACTCAGCACTGTGATGAAGAGAAAGAGCAGAAGACATATCACGTTCTGTGGCCCTCTTACTCCTCCCTTTCTCTTCATTCCAAATTCTAGCTTTCCCAAGCAATGCTGCTGAGTTTTATGGATGTAAAATCTAGGAAAAGGAAAGGGAACAAAGAAGGAACACCTTTTGTTGAATTTGGGAAGATCTGATGTCAAATTTTTTTTACCTACGATTTCTGAATAGGACTTTTATATCTTTTCCTGGTCCTGTTAAGTAAGAATTAGGACAGTCACAAGTGATTCCTTTCCCAGGATAAACAGTTTTCCCTATGGAAGATTTAGTCCTGCCCTTCATATTCGTTTTCAAGTGTGGGGGAGGAGAGGAGGCGGTAAGTCACAACACACTGAAATCGAAGACAGGGTCTGAAGAGTAAGCTCCCTTGGCAAGTGGAAAATTTCGGTCTCTGAGACATTCAACTTCAGAACTAGAACCTACTACATAGGTGAATTGCCCCACTGTCAGAGGTCCCAGCCACAGGACACTTTGTTAGGATAAATTGTATCCTCCAAGTTTGTAAATTCACCACTCCAGAAGGAAAGCCAGACAGACCACCCGGGTTGCTCTGATGGACAGGCACCATTTTGCACTGGGTGCCAGGTGAGGGGGCCCAATTGTGTCTGGTGTGTCCCTGAAACCTGAGCTTTGAATGCAGCTTACGTTTTTGTGTTCAGCACAGTGTTCTCTCTTAATCCCTCTGCACTAAACAATTCCAGTTCTTTGGCATTGGTGTTTCCATTTGCGAAAATTGTGTAACTCTATCTAAAGGCTGTCTTTCCAAGGCTTTGTCTTGCTGTGTGGTAAAAGGATAAAAGAAAACTCACATCAAGAAGCCAAAAGCTAAGTCTTTACAATCAATAAGCTAAAGTGAAAATAGGCCTGGGGGTGAGCATGCTCCCGAGTATATTTGGTGAAAGAGCACAGAGCCCGCTTGTAACTCCCTTATAAATGGGGTGCTCATGTTGTGATCTGGAGACCCTCGCATATTCTCCCAGACACTCAGTGGCACGAGAGACATGTATTTCTGAGGGTGACATAAAGGAAAGAGATTCTATTGTCATTAAGCATTTCCAGATCTGTTTCATAGAAAGTTACAATTGCATTCTTAGTCCCACATACAGATGGATGGATGTAGTCATGGAATCACTGGAAATCTGACAAGCAGCCTTTATTTTGATATGGTTATCAAATGCATTCCCTTTTAGGGGGAATGGTGAATTTACAAACTTGATGGAGGATATAATTTATCTTAACAAAGTATCCTGTGGCTGTAACCTCTTTGACAGTGGGGCAGTTCACCTACTTGGTAGGCTCTACTTCTGAAGTGGAGTGTGTCAGACCATTTTCTGGTGTTGACCACTGGTATATGCATTGAATTGATTGTAAAGCCTTTGCAGGGGAATGAATGCTGTTCTCCTTTGTGCAAATTATCAGACCATTTTCTTCTCCTTTCTTAATTTGTTGCCTTTAAGCCATTTTTTTGGTCCCCATATTTGCAGAGGAATTTAAAGAATGTGTAAGTTTATGGTCACTTTGATTTGTGATTCATGAAACTTGTGAAGTTTAATGATAAAGTGGGAAATAGGGAGCTAATATAAGCTCTGATATGACCAGTTGGGCCCTTCTACACTCTTACAGTATTGAAGGGAAGTGACTGGAATTGGTGATTTTGCTTTGAAATTTCTAGATAACCACTGTGTACAACAGAGCTTCCTTTTTTAAAGCAGATCAAATTCTAATGAAGAACATTCCCCAAATTTTTTAATTCCTTAGAAAAGATATTTCAAGCAATGGTAATAACCCATGAGTGCGCTGACAAGTTGGTAAGAAAAGGAATAAAATAAGGATTATGATCAATACCTCTGCAGTAGATCTAAATTGTAGACATACTGGCTCCCATATCTGTTTGAATAGATTGTACATTTTGAGAATAGGTTTATCCCCTGCAAACTTTGCTATGAATGTATTTCAGAAAGCCATTCCTTATTGCTAAGGTATCAAAAAAAATTTGTATGACTTCATAAATTTTGGCTCACTTGACTTACTAAACTAATAATTAGAATAATAATGTCTAATGATCTCACAGAAAATGTCATAAGCAGTTTTGAAAACATTAGTCTCGTCTCTTTTCCCCCCTTTTTTCTGTTTTCACTTACCTTTTTGGCTCTATTCCCAGGATAAGGCTACATTCCTTTCTCCCAAATTACTATTTTAATTCATTAGAAAATAGTTAAAATTACCATCTAATTGAATTGTCATTTAGTTCTATGTAACGGTAAATCCAGAACCCAACATGGAGCATAAAGATTCCACGTTAAACTAAATTTAACAGCAGAGGATGGGCACATAGAAATTTAAATACAGACTGTATTTGTATTTCCTTTATAATATTTATGTTAGGCCTACTGCTTAATTTCCATTTACTTGAATTCAATGATTATTTTGTTTTGGTATCTCAGCTGTGGTTTTTGTCCTAGTTCTATTTGTATCTGCTCTCTAACACAGAACACAACATTTTATCAGTTTTCTACCGTAACTGAGACAGTAAAAAAAAAAATTACTTGGAACTGAATGATGAAGTTCATGGTCTAAGTGTGCTTTTCACATTAAAAAAGCAATTAACCTCTTAACACTTATGCATAGCAAAACTAGCAGTCATGTTAGAATTCTAAGCAGGTAATTAAAAGATAAAGCAACTTGGTATTGGAGTTTTCCCATCTTATCAAAATATGCATCCTTATAATCTTACATGTTGAGCTACATGTCTGGAAAGGGGGTTGGTGAATAAATTTTTCATATTAATCCTGAGTAACATGAAGAAAAGTCCTAACTTAGAAGATATTTGGCTCATAGAAAAACTCAGTGAATGTTTTATGAAAGGACGTCTATTCCATAAAGAATTACTGCATCTTTACAGTGTGTTTAGCATTATCCCTTTTGTCGGAGATCAGAGTGGCAAAAATTCAGGCAATCCTGTTCATGGAACCTAGATTTGAATGACAGAGAGTTCTAAATGCATAGAGGAAAATGAAACAGGACAGTGGGATGGAGAACAGCTCCGATCTGGGGTCAGGGCCAAGAAAGGAAGGCCTTTCCAAAGAGATGATATTTGAGTTGACTTTTAAAGGGTGAGGAGAACACAGACCTGTGGGACAGCATTTCAAGCAGAGTCATTGGCAGAGCAAAGGCGGTGTGTTTCCATGATGAGGATGAGTGAAGGAGCAGACAAGGAATTCCAGATGAGGTCAGAGTGGACAGGCTCTAGAATCCTATAATGCTATGTCACTCATCAGAGTGTGTATTTATTGTAAGCAAAATAGGAAGGCAGTGATGATTCTAAAGAGGTAAGTTATATAAACTTTTAAAACGATGTGCGAGTAAATGGATGAATGAGGTTCTTCTTACCAGTGAGGGCAGTGGGAGAATAGAAATTAATAAAAGAAGTCTCTTACTTCAAGTCCTTAAGGTATATATTGCCCACAGAAATTTCTAAGCAGCCGATTGGTGTTTTCCCTTATATCAAGCCAGAGCACCTTGCTTTTAGTATGTTGCTTTTTAGTATTCTGGAACTTGTCACAAACTTTTTAGGAGTCTTTTTAGAAAAGATAATATGGAAATTACAAATTTATAACATCCAAAGTATTAACTTTACTCAAAAGGAATGAAAGGAAAATTCATATTGCTATAAATATTTTAGAAGTATTTTCACAGTGTGCTGGCATTTATAAAATATAAGAGAGCAGCCTAGACCAGTTAGATTCTGCTTTGATAAAGTTGTGGCTTCAAAAATGGGGAAAAGAGAAAGAACTGTCTGATTAGGGCATGACAAGTTGTTAAATCAGAAGGAGCTATCAATAAAATATTTATTGCTTCTGTGGAACCTACTGCTCAAGAAGTGAACTCTCCCAGATAGGGAAAGAAGTAGTAAAACTATCACTATTTGCAGATGATAATATACATAGAGAACCCTAAAAACTCCACAGAAAAACTACTCAAAATAATCAACCAGTTCAGTAAAGTAGCAGGATATAAGAAGTGATCTCTCCGTGATTTCTCCTTCTTTTAAGAGCATAGAAATAAATATGGATTTAAATTTTAGTATAGCTGAACTCCCTTTAGTCTGATAGAATGTTTTCCACTTGCATATATTGTTTTTAAGTGTAAACTAAGTAAGACAAAATAAAAATGAATAAAATAGTATAAAATACATAGAAAAATAAATAAATTTTAGTGCCTATTTAACCCTTGATATGTTATGAAACACACAAACCTTTAAGCTTGCTTGGAATATTTGAGAATCATCCAGGGATAAAAAGATCTTTATGTATGAATGGAGGGTGGGGTAAGTTAACTGGTATTTAAATTCTTTTTCCTATCAAAATGTTGGAAATTAGGTATCATACCTATTTCCTAAAAAGAAACAACCACAAAGTAGTTGAGATCGTTCTCCCAATGACCAGCAAGTGACATGTTAACATTTGTACCCACAACTCTGACTCCAAGGCTGGGGTCACTCATTTTTCACCAACAGTTTGATCTTTGGAGCTATTTTCTTAAAAAGGTGGGAAAGTACATGTGAAAGCTGGTTTCAGAAACTTCGACTTCAACATTTTAAACACTCCATTACTGTCATTAAAATCTTATTACCTAGTACTAGTTTTTTTTGTTTTGTTTTTTGTTTAAGAATCAGATTAATCTACCAAGAGAAGATTGACACCAATGAGATAAGGCTGCAGATAAGTCTAGAAATTGTTCATACCTAAACTTCTATGTATTTCTGGGATATGTGATTCATCAGCATAAATTTAAGATTTCTTTTTTTGACTCACAAAATAACTAAGAAAGCCACAAAATGAGCAAATGCCCCCTGTCTCTCCTTTGAGTTTCAAGCAGGCCTTAGTGAATTTTTAAAATTTTGCAAAAATGCTTATCACCGAGTCATACAGTAAGACATTTTGCAACCTTCTTATGTAGGAGAAAAATGTAACCCTTTGTTTATATGAAATTAATAGACTTAATACCACAGACTATGAGTACAGAGAGATGACAAAGTTCAGATAAAAATCCCAACAAGTTCACCAGATGTAAATGTCTGCAGGGGCCTTGAACACAGCGGGGTTAAGCATAGTAAGCATGCAGGAAATTTAAGGCAGAAGATTAAGTCATCTTAAGATCTTGTATGGAAAACACAGTGCAGTAGAAGGGTGGGGGAGTGGGGGAAGAAACACAAATTCCTCTTTCTAATCCTGCTTGTGCCACAGATGAGTTTAACTTCTGGCAAGGTATCTTAACTATGTTCTGAAGTTGATGTGAGAGCCTTGTTATTACTCCCATTCCAGCGCTAATCGTGTGAGTGTCATTCTGAGTACTGTGTGTTCTCTGGGATCACCTTGCTATTTGATTGGGATCTTTGGCTTAAGAACTTAGGAAAAATATCTTAACACTTTTTTTTTCCTTTTTTAGGACTATCTAGGAGCTTGTATTGTCCTCACTGCCTCTATCGCATCCATTAGAGGGTCTTCCTCTTCTGGACTGGTGGGCTTAGGGCTTCTGTATGCACTCACGGTAGGTGTGGATGAACAAATCTCTTTCCATGAAGGAGGTACCCTCAGTATTTATTAACCACTCTTGTTCATGGCTCTTAGAGAAGTTTTAAATTCTTAACAAGATGACATTTTGCAAATAGATTTGGACCCATAGATTTGGATTCATTTCTGATATTGTGAACCAATATTTTAAAATTCCTCAAACCCCGTGGTCAGAGTGTCCCCTTTCAGGACACAAAAGTGAATGTGAATGTAAGTTAGGTAAGAGGGTACATGCAAGTTACCCCTCGTGTGGGGATGTCATAAGACAGGTCACAAAGCAGTGACATTTGGGGGCTCTTGAAGAGCCAACACCTTCTTTGTCCACTTTATCCCACAGTCTCTTCTCTGGTCCTTGACAGCCTATAGCATTTAGGAGTTGTTGCCACATGATAAACAGTAACTGTTCAAGTCGTCCAATCCCCAAATAGCCAATGATTACAAAAATTGCTACTCTGATTTAAAAGTCTTAATTTTTTTTTGTCACCTGACAGATAACCAATTATTTGAATTGGGTTGTGAGGAACTTGGCTGACCTGGAGGTCCAGATGGGGGCAGTGAAGAAAGTGAACAGTTTCTTGACTATGGAGTCTGAGAACTATGAAGGCACCATGGGTATTGTTCTAAATGTTATTGTTAGAAGTAGTAGTAGTTTAATATTTGAGTGAGTGACAGACACAACATCATTGCTTTTGTTTTGTATTTCAATATCAAGAGAATCTCTGCTCAATCTAAATTCTGAACTAATGCATTCTCTTACTCAAGACCTTATTAATTTAAATATCAAGAGACATGGATACCAAAATACTGAGATACTCCACTTTGCTAGAAAAAAGCTGGCAGGAAAATCAATGTCGAGGACAGAATTATCTAAAATGCAAATATCATGCTTAGATGTATTTGTTTATCTCATAGCTATCCAGATTTTCAAGGTCAAAATCCAGGTAACTTAGTTAAAACCTTTAGACTCTTCATTAGTCAATCTTTGCCCACCTGCCTAGTCGCATCTCTCTGCACCCCACCACACCAACATGTGATGCTTTCTTTTCATCTTTTCCTTCCATGTATATATCAAACAAATTTCCTCATCTCTCATCCTTTAACATTCATCTTGGGGAAATACCATCAATCCCACTTTAGGATACTTACCCAAATAGCATGAAACCACTCAACTCAAGTAATATACTATATATAGTATGCTATATATACTGTATAATATGCTATAAATAGTATACTAGGTAATAAATACAATGTTTGTTGTAGCATTATTGACCATATCTAGGACTTGGAAACCAACTAAGTACTCACTGATAGAGAATTAAATCAAGAAGATGTGTTACATACACACAATGGAATACTATTCAGCCATAAGGAAAGATGAAATGTTGCCATTTATAGCATAATGGAAGGAATTCAAGGGAATTATGCATACTAAAGCAAGTCGGAATGACAAAGACAAATATTGGCCAATTCCACAGAGGACAATTTGGAAAACAAAATACTTATAAAAACTAGCAGGCACAAATTAACAAAGTTAAAGTTAAGAAGGAAAGAATCAAAGGCGTATAAGGGATAATGGTTGGGGGAAAACAGATTCATATAAGGCACTGTCTTTTCCTGAAACCATCCTGGAATGCTCAGGTTATCACTGTCTATGCTCTCAGCACATGTGGGTTGACATCGTTTCTGTGACTCTCCCTGCAAAGCTATGGATGCTGACTTACTGATCTGCTCCCCAGCACACAGTGTGAACACCTGGAGTCTCCCCATAGTCCAGCATCACCTTTACATTGTAAACACTCAAATGTTTGATGACCAACTGATGGAACAAAGGAACCAGTTCACAAGTGAACTACTGTAGATAGAATTGAGGGAATGTAAAGAATATTTTTGTTACAAGATAACCAGTTATTTAAGTTGGGTTATGAGGAACTTGGCTGACATGGAGATAGTTTAGAACTGGTTAATGCTCCAAAACAAAAATTTAAAAGACATTTTAAAAATCCTTAATCCAGAGGACTTTACTCTGGAGGTAATTTTAAAATAAAAGTGGTGCAGGATTACTTAAATGTAGAGAAAAAATTATAAGTTTTGTTTCTCTCTCCCCCGTTCCCTACTCCAACTCCAGATCCTTCTCAAGTCCCAGAGCACTGGCCACAAGAAGGGGAGATCAAGATTCATGATCTGTGTGTCAGATATGAAAATAATCTGAAACCTGTTCTTAAACATGTCAAAGCTTACATCAAACCTGGGCAAAAGGTACAAAACTCACTGTCATTTCATTTGTTTCATACAGTAGCTCAGCTGGAACCACTCCATTACCACCTGAACCCTTCAGACTTCCTAGCCCAACATATTCTGAGTTCACTCAACATGACAAGTCAAATTATCTACATAAAAGGGAAAAGGAAGAGATAGAAACTGGATAAAATACATATACTCTAACTTGATAAAATATAATATGTAATATGTCTAACTCATATTGCCATTCATTAATTTCCCCTGAAGATCAGGAACATCTACAATAGACATGGATTTTCAAAAGTTACACAATCTTCTGCCTCCTTACCTCCTCACCTTCTGCCTTCTCCCTCCTCTCAGATAGCTCCTTGAGAAACCTTGCATTTTTTTTAGTCCCAAAACAATCTTAGTTATTATAGAAGGAACAGTATGTACACTGATATTGGACTTATTCTAATTTTCATTATCAGATCACCACTTCCAAAATAAAAGGGAATAGTTATTCATTAGATCAGTAGTATATAAAATGCAAAAGTTAAGCCACAAAGGAAAAACAACACAAGCACAGAAAAGTTAGAATGAAGCATTGAAGACTTGATAAGAACTCTTTAATTTTAATACTAATTCATAAGGTAATTCTAAGAAGAGAATGATGATTTCAGAGTAGTTCTTTAAATAGAATTGCAGTTTTACTATGATATCTTATCTAAATAGAAACATGTTTGCCCATTTTCTGCCTTTGTTTGAGCCCTCTTCTGAGTGACAGATGATTTTTTTAGGTTGGCATATGTGGTCGCACTGGCAGTGGAAAGTCATCACTATCTCTGGCTTTCTTCAGAATGGTTGACATATTTGATGGTGAGTTACTAATCACATCTTTTTCATTGGTCTGTGCTTTAAAAGCAGTATGAACTTATCTAATACTGCAGAAATTAAGTCAAATATTTATAAGGACTTTGTGTCCTCCAATCCATGGTTGCTGGCAGGTAACTCTGATAAACAATCCACAAGTAAAAAAAAAAAAAAAAACACATAAAATTGAGGAAATAAAATTATTAACCCAAAACTTAGTTCTTGAGATTGTTGCTAAACATTTTAATTTTCTAGTAAAATGAAAACAAGACCACACACTTTGAATAGCAATAAATGGAGGTGGCTTTTCAAGAGGACGAGAGAGGAAAGTTTTCTTGCTTCCCTAAGACAAATGTATCTCTTTCCATCAAAGGAAAAAAGTACCAGGAGATACACCATCGTCATTTTTAATTGGGAGTATGACCCTCCTCATCTTCTTAATTACATGGTTTAATGATGAACTTTCTGTGAGAAGACAGCCTTGGCTGTAACATGACAAATACATTTTACAACTACAAAAATATTTGTTCATCCACAAAATTATTAATAGCCTTTGCTTTAGAAAAGTATGTCATATTATGTAGTCTATCAAATGGACTATAAATAGGCCAGCATATAAGTCATCATGACTATAAGGGGATGCATGCAGCAATGTGCCTGACTATCAACAAAGTGCTTGCTATTATTATCTGTAATGATTGATGATGATAGCATTATACCTTTTTTTTTTTTAGCTTGATGGTTTATAGTATTTAAACAGTAGCTCTCTGAGATAAGAGATCAGTTTATGAACAAAAAAAATTGAACTGTGGTAGTGCAATCTTTTTGGGATTTTAGATTCAGGTACAGGGTAGAATATGCCACTAAATTAGCAGCTGGCTCTTTCTTCCATGATTCATAATAATACACAGACATGTTAACACAAATCCCACCAAAAACCTTTAAAAGTCAATTACATGATCCAAAACTAATTGACATGCTACATTTAAAAAATCATCCTGATTTTCTTGAATTTAGAAACATGGTTTCAGGCCTATGTGCACTATCAATGACTCTCTTTTTAACAGCAGAAGGTTATGAAGACTTTAATAGATAATATAGTATTCCTGAAAGTTTATGCAAATCTAACAAGCAAAAGATACATCAACTGCCATTCATGCTTGTTTCACAGGGCAATATGGTCTTAGCAAAATATGATATAAAATCTATAAAGTTGAAAAAAGACATCAAGATTGCACTAGCCTATAAGTCTACATAGAATATAAGGAACTTAATTAAAACCTGATGTCTATATAACAGAAATTACTTGTGACATTGGTAAGACACTGTGTTATTCAGTCAATACAGGAATGAATAAGAGGCAGGAATCCCTGTCTTTAAGAAGTTTATATTCTATTGGATGGAGAGATATTTTTAAAAGATAAGTAAATGTAACAGAATGTCCTGTGAAGGAAAATTAAGCAGGAAACCAGGATAAAGGCAATTGGAAGGAAGAGGACCAGTTAAGGGCAATGTAGTTTCAGCTTGTATAAACTACTTTAACTGAATAAAAACAGAAAACCCCTCTAAGAGAAAATACATTAAGAAAATATCACCAAAATGTATGTTTTTCTTAAAGATGCATATTTTTAATGCTTAAATGGAAAATTTTATCTTCGGAATTTCAACCCTGAATTTAAAAAGAACTTTGAATTTAAGATTTTTTTTCAATTGGGATTTTACTGCATATCTATAATTTGGTATTTTTTTAACAGGAAAGATTGTCATTGATGGGATAGACATTTCAAAACTACCACTGCACACACTTCGTTCTAGACTCTCAATTATTCTTCAGGACCCAATACTGTTCAGCGGTTCCATTAGGTAAGGTGTTCAGCAGGAGCCTTTGAGCCTCAGGACTGACCATTTTGGCTCTTAGGAGGGTTTGGCTCAGAACTGTTTTCAGATAGGTGTGAAGGGGCATTATAAAGATGACACCATCCAATATTCTGTCCAACAGTTTGGCTTGGGAAACCCTATAGTAGCTAAATAAAGAAACCTGTAGAATCCAATCTTGTAGCTCCAAGAACTGTTCCTTTTCAGTCAAATTCTACAAAAACCACACATTCTTCTGTACAGCTGCCTTGCCTAAGTCTTCTATGTCTGACTTGGTGGCAGCAGATATGGAGATCCCTCACAACTTTTCTTTCAGCCAAGACAGCATTTAAGAAGCTGTTACAACCCTCTCCATGCCTGGTTTGTGCCTTGCCATAAGACAAAAAAGAACGAAGGTATTTACTATCTACTGAGTGCTTTAAACATACTGCCTCATAACTCCCCAAAGCATTATTCTAGTACATGTATTATTATCCCCACTAGGGGATTTTTGAACCTCAGAAAAGCTGTAACCTGGTCAAGTTCATATACTTATTAAAAGTATATTGGTACTGCAATACCAATGAAATTTTTCTCACAGCAACACTCACCATGGCATCCACCAGATCACCTCCCTTATTCTGCTCACCGCCCCCCCTCAACTTGAAGTATTTGCCACTTCCTTTGACTAAATACTCCTTGTCTTGAGAAGAAAACTATGTTAGGTCACTTATATATTCAGCTGTAAATTTAATGAAAAGTTGTGGCTATATCACGTAATTTAACAATATACCTCAGAATATATTTATTATGAGTATCACCACTGTGTTTGGTGCAGCTCAAGTAAATACAGTATGTTCCCATATAGATTGGCATATTCATGTAGGATTGTTTTGCTAGACACTAATCAAATTGCACTGAACAGAATACTTATTTTAGGCTTCCATGGTGGGGCAGGCAGTTGAGCACAGTGCTGTGAAGCTGTCCGCAGCCTCTGCAGTGTGGATTCCATCCCGGCCGGCCAGCGAGATACCCACATGGCACAGCAGACCTCTCCTGTCTCACCCGCTGCTCCCCTCAGCAATTTATTTCAGCAGTCTCCCTGTTCTTGTTCCCCACTTTGTCTCTAGTGAATCCCCTCACCCTTCTGCACATCTGGCCTGTACCCTGGTACTAGTATAAATAAATAAATCTTTAAAAAAAAAGAATACTTATTTTATATCCTAGCATGCATACACTTAATGTAAACTTAGTAAGTATATTGTCAAATATCATTTTTATTAATATTAAGTTCATTCATTCATCAAGCATGAATTTCAATACCTACTCTTATCCTGAGCCCCGAGGATATAATAGTAAACATAACAAATAAAGTGTGTGTTTTAAGGCAAGAATAGTAATAAGCAAATATATAATATGTAAAATATGAAATATGTAAAAAAAAGTTTTTTCTTGACGAATTTTTTCCTACAGATTTAATTTAGATCCAGAGTGCAAATGCACAGATGACAGACTCTGGGAAGCCCTAGAAATTGCTCAGTTGAAGAATATGGTCAAATCCCTACCAGGAGGTTTAGGTATGTTTTTTAAACAACTAACTTGGTTTTTTTTTTTTGTTTTTTTTAATATTTACTTATTTATACAAGCACTGGGGTACAGTCAGAAGTGGGGAGGGTGAGAGAATTCACCAGAGCCAGAGCGGAGAGCAGAACAGGCAGTGTGACGAAGTACACTGCTGAGGGGAGCAGCAGGCGGCAGGAGAGGTCTGCACGCCATGTGGGACCCTCTCCCCGTGGCCAGGGATTGAACTGGTGCTGCAGAGGCTGCGGGCAGCTTCGCAAGCCAGCACTTAACCGCTGTACCACCGGGGAGGCCCAACAACATGCTTATTTTTGATATGCACATACATATGTCTACATTTTTTGCTAGAATCACATAATTCTAATACTAAATTCCCTTCTATTTAAAATAGTTTCCTAAAGGTCACTACTTCAAATTCTAATGATTTTGCATGCAGTGTAAGAGGAAGAACCTTACAATATTGCATTCTATGTTCCACTGGTGGCCAAAGTCACTTTAATCAGGGTTTTTTCTATGGTCATTCTATTCTCTTGAGCTATATGATCATTTACTTTTAGTAAATGGATAAGCAGATTAAAGAAGCTGAGGTTCAAAGAATACACTGGGTTGCCACTTAGGAGTAGGCAAGTGTTCATCTACTTGGAGTGCAGTCTGGTGGGTGATATAGTGGAAAAAAGAACACGTATTGATGTTAACAAATAGAATATTGTGATCTAGCTCTACTGCAAATTCGCTGTGTGATCACTACCAAGCCACTTCATCTCTCTGGGCCTTAGCTAATTTTATTAAATAATTCTAGATCTTCCAGTCTTCAAAAAGCTCAATAGCTCTATATCCTACCATAAGGAGATACATAACCATCTCTGGTCAAAAATGGGATTGCGCAGGAACACATTCATTATCCCAAAGTAAAATTCCTCATTGCCTTTCCAAGCTGAAATCCTTGCAACAGTACAAAATAATATCCAGTGTGCTCACACAGGACATGCTTGGGTTTTTCACTACTTTGCCGGGAAAGTTGCTTAGTAACATTCTCTTTCATGAACTCCTCACTTTGATTCTCTGCTTTAGATGCGGTGGTCACTGAAGGTGGAGAGAATTTTAGTGTTGGACAGAGACAGCTGTTCTGCCTTGCTCGAGCCTTTGTCCGCAAAAGCAGCATTCTCATCATGGATGAGGCCACAGCTTCCATTGACATGGCCACTGTGAGTGCATTATCCAGGCTTTTTAAACACATGGGTTACAGTCATGCACATGAAGCATATAATTTGTTTCTCCCCAGTGTATTTGATTCCTCAGTACTATTATTTTGAGCAACTTCTTATTCATCTCCTTGATCAACTGATGAAAATATATTGAGAATTACAAAAAAAGGAGATGTGACTTTCAAGCAGTTCCTACTGGGAAGAAACAATATAAACTTGCCACCACTTTTTGATAATTCCCCAAATGGTAAAATTCCGACTCAGTTGATGAGAGCACTATACTGTATTCAGGTATAATACCCTGCATTTCAAAACTAAGTATGCCAGTCTGTATTTAATAGAATATGTTTGTAACCACAACCAATTTTTTCTAAAGCAATTTGAAGATTTCACAAGAATTAATAGTGGTCATCTACATGAATTCATGGTAACAAACCAGAAACTTTGCCTTTTGAAAGAAATGATTTAAAAGCCTCAAATATGTCCAGAGATGAATCTGTCTGGTCTAAAGATGAATCTGTGGTTGACGGGGAAATATCACATTAAACCACACACAGTATGAGCTAGCAATTAATGTTGCTCTTACAAAAGTTAACCAGAAGTAAAAGTTTAGCATTAGTAAGGACCAAAATAGAAAATATCTACAACCTTATGGTGTTTTCTTGCTTTAGACTTTAGACTATCCAAAAAATTGAAACAATTTTAAGATTATTAAAAGCCAATTATATATGAAGATTCTAATCTGATATTTCTATGTATATTTCATGTGCATGAGGGTAACCCATGTAACCCATGTATTAAATCAATTAGAGTACCCCCCACAAAGTTATATATCCTTCTCAAAGTAAACATAACTACATCAAACTAAGATTTTATAATGTTGGGGGTTATAAAGATAGTATAGAGGTGGGGTGGGGGATGAGAATAAAATGATAAATTAGCAGGCAGATTTTAGGAGTGGACGTTCTCAGGAGGGGTTGAGCATGTGAAGCATTGGTTTTCGTGGACAAATGTTACAGCAAGATAAAGTCCAAAGAAAACTCACTTTTTTTTTTTTGGATAGGAAAACATTCTGCAGAAAGTGGTAATGACAGCATTTGCAGACCGCACCGTCGTGACGATAGCTGTAAGTATGGAGGTGGGGCTGTTTTACTCCTCTTTGGTTTTGGTTCTGAGATTCAATAGTCTTTGACCACTTAAAATATGCTTACTTAAATTTAATTCTGGTTTTCTGCTCTTGTTTTTATATCTGTGCAAAAAAGAGGGGGGAAATAAAAAAAAAAAAAAGACAAGCTATGCTCTCAAATCCTTTACATTGTTTTTTACCTAAACTGTCTGCTCTACATAGCTCTCCTAAGTTCTAATCCTAGGACATCACAAATGGAAGGACCCCAGAAGGTCATGACCTGTGGCTTTGTCACCAAATACAGATGGTAATTCTATTTTCAACAGGTAGCCCCAAACTGAAGAATTGCTTACATCTATAATTCATGTGATGGCTTAATTAAAATAGAATTGGGTAGTTCCTCTTTGCAGATGAATGAATTCTTGCTCACATTTAGGCCTAATGTTTAACAAAAACTTTGGAAAAAATGAGTCACTTGGACATTTTCCCTCTTGCTGATTCTCTTTCCGTTTTTCTTTTCTCTCCAGCATCGTGTCTCTTCCATTATGGATGCAGGCCTTGTTTTAGTCTTTTCTGAGGGTATTTTAGTGGAGTGTGATACTGTTCCAAACTTGCTCGCCCTCAAGAATGGCCTCTTTTCCACTTTGGTGATGACCCACAAGTAGACATCATGAGCTACTGTGCCAGTTTGCCATTCTCTGGTAGCTATCTTAGCAGGAGCCTCTCCTAAGGCAAGGCTAATGCAGTGATGGGAGGGGTAGGGTGTGGGGAGGGAACTAACCCTGGGTGGGGGGCTATTTCACCCACCATTTCCACCAGGTGCTTCAGTTACACTCAACACTGAGGGAGCACGTGTGTGTATTTTCAAATGTATACGGACAAGACAGGAGGCATGTAACAAAAGCCTAAGCACCAAACTCAAGTCTATCGTAAGGACCAGTCCCACTCTTCCTTGAGGATATTTCACAATTGTCTTTAAACAGACTAGCCATGTTCCTTGCCTGCTTAAAGAGTGCATAGTTTATCTTAATTACTTAACAGTTGAGCAGTGGGAATTTAGTACTTGCTTATGTTTACATTGTTGTGAAAAATGCATGGGAGAAAAAGCACCATTTAAATTGCAGGTTTTTCAAGGTGGCGGGAAATAACTCCTCACCTTCTGCGAAGTGTGTTAGAGAAAAAATACTTCCTTTTACTTTCCCAGTGAACTATCTAGTTCCTTCTGCCCTGGAGCACAGTCACCTGATTCACACTAAAAGGTGAATGATTCAGTAGGTAAGACAGATGGCTAACTTGAAAAGTGGTTCTCTCATATTTTCAAGAATATTCTCACTGGACAAAATAGGGAGATATTTTGGAAGAAAAATAACTTTCTGTTGCCCCTAGATGGGCAGCCAGAGGAGGTGTGGGATGGGAAACAGACTCTTTCCTACTCAAGACAAGTTTTCTCCATTTTACAGGAAGCATGGCATGGTTGTATAATTTTATCTAGTCTACAATTGGAAGATTATTAGAGTATAATTTTTATCTTTAAAACGGTTTTCTCACCTAATTCCTATTCTCCTACATATACTTTTCTATAGAAATCTCTTTTATCCACTCTTCACTTCAAGATCACAAATGCTATGGTGGCCACTAGGATACCTTAGAGTTCTCCCCCCTCAACATAAAGCTGTGGGGGGAGGGTTAATTACCATGGGGCTAACTCCTCCTAAAAGGCTCATAGGTGGTGAGGTGCCCCTAGCTTGGGAAGACCCACAATAGTTAAGAGGAACTATTTTTCCTTCCCCCAAAAATTTGTTGTGTTCATTTTGCTAACTCTGAAAATTATGGAATAACAACTTTCTCTGGCTTCTAAAAAGAAGTCCTCCTATACCAAATAATGCATGCTATTTAATTATGAAAGTGATTATTAAAATGGTTTAATAATCACTCTTGATTCATTTTTCCAGAGCATTTAGGAAATGTCATCAATGCTATTGCAATTGTATACTTTATAAAAAAAAAAATTCTGAATTAATGAAATGCCAGATATATTTATTTCTGTTTACCAAGATTTTGTGTGTTTTCATTTTTAAAAATAAACATTTTACCATAGCAAGGCAATGTTTATAATACTCTATTTATGGATCTAGAGGTCAAGTTCCTTTTTAGAAATCTATGATATTGTTATTGAAAAACTGATTTTTTTGCAAGGGAAAATACACAAGATATTAAAAAGTCCTTTAATATAAAGTTTACTTTTTCTAAATAAATGTGCATTTCTTTCTCCAAGATAAAGATATCCTCCAAATTTTGATGAGTTTTAGATATATAAATTTGTTACCAATATTCAGTAAATATCGAGAGGTCTGTCTATGGAGGTTGGCAATAGTAGTGCATGTTCTAAGCCAGCATCTTACTCACACTCCATATACATGTCCTTTTCCCACTCTGGATGTGAGTCCCATGTCTGACCTCTTGCTTTTTGTAGGGTCCAGGGACCAAGACAGACCTTTGCCCCTGGGGAGTCCTTTAGGTTGGACTTTGGGTTGTTAGGAGAAGCCAAGTGGGAAAACTGTATCAACTGAACAGATGGCGTTTCCACCCTGGTTCTCCCTTCAGCTGGTGTCCTGACCTGCACGGTCCACATCCAAGATAGTACCTCCAAGCCAAATGATACTACTGTGCACTTGAAATGCAGATCGCCCAAATTAAGAGGGGTTGTAAATGTGAGATACACTCTGGAATTCAAAGACTTAAGAGTTGCAGAGGACCATAAAAGAGCTAATACACACAGTCATGTGTTACTTAAATATGTTTCCATCAAGACAAGTCTCATATATAAAGGTGGTCACAGTAGGCAATAACAACTAGAATTGTGTAATTACACTTTAGGACTCTGCACAACCACAAAAATTACCTAACAAGGCATTTCTCAGAACCTATATCCCCATCTTAAGTGCCACATGACTATGATTTTTAGATTGGCTACCTATTGATAAAGCAACATTTTGGGTATATTAGATTGAACTATATTAAAGCAAATTTCACTTCCTTATTTATGTATTTATTCTTGTGTCAGACAAGGTGCTGAGTTTTTTACATGGATTATCTCTTTGATCCTCACCACTGTTCTCCAAGGCAGATGGTATTATTACCATCATTTTACAGGTGTGAAACTTGAGGCATATGAAAGCTAAGTTTGTTGGTCAAGATTGCACAACTAACAGGTGGTGAATAGAAATACCAGCCTCATCTAATTTCAGAGCCTGTGATCTTAACCATAGCACTAATAATGTGCATGAACAATTCTGAGTTAGAAATACTTCAGGGTGGAAACATCTCACACTTTGAGGTCAATGAACCCTATTTTAATACTAGTTCTGTTATTTAATATTATTGACCTCCTGATTTTGCTTTTTCTCTACAAATCTCTAAGGTCCACCATTGAGAGAGGTAACACCCACATTTAAAGGATGTTCTATGATTAACAAGTATGTTTGTGGAGCACTAATACCAAAGCTTTTCTCCAAAGGGTGCCACATTGAAAAATGAACAAGTAATCTTGATCTCTAAAGACTAAAAGAGGGCACGTCCAAAGTGCTGGATAATTCTTTAATACTGCATGCCAGAATGGACTTCCTTATTGTCTTCCCAGAATCAAAATCCTCTCTGTGGGATTCTTTAAAATGGGTTAGCCCACAGAAGTGTGTGGACTCTACAGAAGACTACGTCTTAGTCTAGACCAAACTGTAACTCCCTGGTTCATGATGGCTTCTCATATAATTCAATTAGTTGCAAACATTGATTAGTCCACTTAACTTTCATGTAAAATGATGAAACTACTAAATTAGTTACACTCAATTTAATGCAGACCATGGACAAGATCAACGCATACTAATCAGTATTTGAAAGTGTGTAAGTAAAAATACTTTAAATATGAAAGGAAAAGTGGGACTGTGGAATGTGCATGTTCCATTGCTTTGGCTCATGGCCTGAAATATGTACTAACCACATGTATTGTTTCCACTCTCAGCATCGGGTTCACACCATTCTGACGGCAGACCTGGTTATTGTGATGAAGCGAGGGAATATTCTAGAATATGATACTCCCGAAAGCCTCTTGGCTCAAGAAGATGGAGTATTTGCTTCTTTTGTTCGTGCAGACATGTAAAGGGATGTCTCACAATGACAAGTGCATTAAAATAATGCATTCGTAATCTACATAATGGATCATCAGCCTGACCTTCATAATGTGGTACCTTAAACTTTTACACTTTTGCAAATCTTGTTGGTTATGTTGTAGACCTTGTAGTCAGTACCAATGTCACATTACTAGCAGATATTGTATCTCCTATGTATGTGCAAGTTAGCATATCTTCCTGGTTTTTTTTCCAAGATAATTACTGCTTACTGTGTTTATTATGGACTTTTTGTTAATGATTAAGCCATTTTACCTTTAAGAATATCAGACTGTATTAAAATATGTACGCTACATGTACGCTACTTGAAGTATCAAATCCTAGCTAAGTTTTCTCATAATTTCAGGTTTGATAAATATTTCAGGCATAGAAGCTACAATGACAATTCAATATTATACTCTCATTTGTAAGAATATATTTTCCTTTTTGTTGATGTCTCCAGATTATATTGGAAGAAAACAAACAGTTCTTCTAAACAGTTAGGAAACTGAACACTTCAAACTTATTATTTACTGTATGAAAATGTCTTCTGTACTCATTAGCCTTAGTAATATGATATTTCCTTAGTAGTCTTTTTCCTTCTAAATTGTTTCCTGTCAACAAGAAGTTACCAACTATATAGTTCTATAAAGCCATGATGTTAATTAGAAAGATTATGAAAAGTTCAGATATTTGAGAAATTATACTCAAGGATCCAAGTTCAAACAGTAATTAGTTTCAACTCTGCATGACAGACCAGCTAAAGCTCTCCAAAATTTAATTCATCTTTAGATTTGATAATGATCCTGAGCCCTAAAGTGCTGTTATTCAAATTTCAGGAGCATAGGCAAGTGGCCTTATTTTGCAGAATACACACACACACCGTGTATAGCAGTAACTACTTGTATGTATGTGTATTTCTAGATGAAAGAATACTTTTAACATGTATGCTCAGTGATGTCATGTGTATGTAGAATGTTACTGCTCTAATTTACTGTGCATGTAAAGTATATCCAAAAGTTATTCTAATTTTTATAGGCTTTTCTCCTGCTCCAATTTTAAGGTGTATATTAAGAGTTTATCACAATTGGCAAAATGTGAGTGCTGTGTTCCATTGAAAAGCCCCTTCTAGTTTCATACTAGTAGTCAAAAGCTTTCATATGAGAAGCTTTCTTCTTCACATGCATGTGAAGAACTTTGATTTATGGAAAAAGAATGTACACTCCCTCCACATAGATGTGTTCAGCCTATTGAATTTTATATTCACTTTTGGAAAATCAATAATTGTTGATCTGGGATATATGTAGAATAAAATAAGCTCCAAAAGGATGGACAAAAATATCCTGTTGTTTAGCTTGAACTGTCCTTTGTATATATTGAAAATGTCATTGAGAGAAAACTGCTTACTGATTTTGTTCTATTTAGCTTTCAGGAAGCAGTAACTATTAGATTTGATGTATTACCAATATGTCTCCTACTCATATTGCTGGCATGCACCTGTTTCATAGGACTGTAGAGAGGAATTTGCATGATGCTTGTTACCCAGTTACCTAATTCTCAGAGAAATGTGGATTTACCCATAGAAATAAGCACTCACAGTATCTGTAAGTTGCATTGCTGTATAGTTATGCAGAAGCATAACTAGTTACACTGAGAATCATATCTACCCTTCTTACACTCAAGTGGTTGCTGGTTCCCTCATAACTTGTAACCACTTTTTAATCATAATTAATTGACTTATTCAAGTCCAGGATATTGTTCTAGTTGTTCAGTTACCTGTATTATCTATTAAATATAGAAATGATTCATCCTGAAATATATACTAAGGAGGTACATCACTACAAAAGACCAGCTCAACAAAATCAAAGTTTACATTTTACATTTAACTAGCCAAATTAATTTTACCAATTTTAATCATTTAATTTGTTAAAAGCAATAAGGCTTGATGTTAAAACAAGTTATCACTGAAAAAGACATTCCTCTGAAAGGCCTGTCCCCCTCTACTTTTACACGACCACTCACCACCTATTTACATCAGCTCAGCCCTGTATCAGATACCAGAAGAGCATACTAAGTAAGTGGGATCTGGGATCTTGTCTTACTTGTTGCTGTGATCTTGGCACTTAATACAAGCATCTGGCCCACAGGAGGTGGTGATTAATAGGTAGGTTATTTACCCATTGATTAGTTTTACCACTAGCCATGTGCCTACAGCTATGATATATTCTCTTTACTTTCTGTGCTGTGTTTATTTTACTGTGAAACTATATTGGCTTGGTATTGTATAATAAATTACTCTTTATTTGCTCAATAAAAGAGGGTGATTATTCCTTCATTTATATTACCATTGGGTATCAACCAAGACTGATCAATAGTTGTAAATCCACAACAGTTGCCAAGACAATAACTGATCCTGCCTTAACAATTCTGCTTCACATTTGTCACCGTCATGCACATCATTAGTTTAATATATAGGCTTCAGGGGAGTTTCCATTAAGTGGAACAGCTGTGTCAATAAATTTTATTACAGCTCTAATTAAGTAGCAAGATGTTTGGACTTTTCCTCCAAGGTTTATTGATCAGTTCATATGGTTGTCTTCCAATATATCTTATTGCTTATTCTGTACTGCACTTTGTTGTTCGTGATGTATAGTACTGACAATTCCCTTATTGACCCATTAATCAATGTTAAATGCAACTTTCCAACCTTAGTCTCTTAGCATTAGAAGCTGTAGCCAGGGGCCTCCCCGGTAGCACAGGGGTTAAAGACCTAGCTCTATCAAACTCTCACCAGCCACTGTGGCAGGAGTTTGATCCTTGGCCAGGGAACTAAGCTACATGGTGCAGCAGACCTCTCTTGTCTAGTCCACTGCTCCCCTAAGCAGTGGATTTCAGTACATCTGCCTGTTCTGCTCCCCACTCTGTCTCTGGTGAGTCCTCTCACCGCCCCCCCACCCCCATACCTCTGGCTTACACCCCAGTTCTTGTATGCATAAATAAATCAAAAAAAAAAGCAGTAGCCAAAAGGATATATAGCCTGTCACTTCTGTTCATTTTTTTCTTTAGTCACTGCACATCATTTATAACAGGCTTAGTCAAACGTTAGTAAGATTCACCTGGCTGAAACTATAATGCAAAGACTTGTTTCTGAGTTTCTAGAAAGTGCATCCAAATGAAATTATAACTGGCCAACTTCAAGAATCGCCCATCTACAGCACCCCCACCCCTCTCATTGTCCTAGTTTCTCCTTGTTATGTGTAACATAGAGCCAGGAGCCAGGAGGCATACCTACTTCCTCCCTTTGCTGACTTCACCTTACCTGGATTGCTAGAAGAACCTCTTGGGGTCAATCAATGAACTGCTTTGTTCCCACATAGAAACAAGTTAAATGAATTAAACTCTAGCTGAGAAGACTGAAACAAGGACTCTGCCATTTTCTTTTTGGTTTTAATCAGCTATATGAGACCTAAAGAGAAAACTTTTTCACAGATGTCAAGCTGTCTCCCCTGCTCCACATCTGAAATAACTGCTGAATCATTTGTACATTATTGTGCTGATTTTAAATTCTTATTTCCAAACTTTATCATCCATAAATGTGACCAGTTTGGGCAGGTTTCACTACTGGTTCTTTCACAATAATGGGAGGAAAAGAAATCAGCTGTAAGTTAAGTGGTTATATTCATTCTATTTAAATGATCTTTTTCTATGGGCAGTCTGTCATCACTGATGTGTTTCTAAATTGCTAAGAACGAGGTAGCCATACCTGGCAAAGAAGTTAATTGTCTCTAAGATGTTCTGTAACCTCAGTGCCACCAACCATCACAGATCATCTCCATTTACATACTACATACAAGTGACAAAATGCTACAATTATAGACCACTATTTTCATCATCTCCCCACTGCATAAATTAGTACCTTGTTCATGTACAACACTGCAGTGCTTAATCCTTCTTTATTCTCATGTTTCTCCTGAGGCTACAGAATGTGTCACTAACACACGCAATCAGTTATTAAATGAAAGACTACTGACCTTTAATATTAACAGAGCCAAGTGGATATAGGCCAGATTTTCCACATCGAGGTATTTGCTTTTTGTTCCAACACCAGTTGAGAGCAATTTTTAAGAAGTCATTATCTCTTTCAGACCCTCAAAATGTCCACCAGGCCTTTGACTGTGGATATAAACTAACCCCCATCTGTTTTCTGATGGAGTGAGTAGAGGACAGGTTACAAACTGTCCTCCAGACCCTCTGGACATGATGTGTGGCCCCGCCACAAACACACAGGCACATAGAGGTTCATGTTCCTCTTGCTGCAAATCCTTACATCTCATAGTAATACAATGCAGAAACAAGGCACATGCAGGTGCTTAGCATAGATGGTAAAGAATAAGATTTTTACAATCATCATATAATCTGGAAGTATAACTTCTAGGCCGAAATTAACCTTAGGAAGAATTTCACTTCTAGATAGATGATAAAATGTATACATAGAGACAGACACTTCAAATGACTCTTTGAACCTGACTTTTAAAATAATTGCAAGACAGTGAACAGGTTCTTTAGTTGAACAAAGGCATGATTTAGATTGTCATGAAGTGTTTGGACTGGGCATTCATAAAAGGTGGTATCTCCCTACTGCACTATGCAGCGTGAAAATAAGACTTGGGTATTTTATCTTGATTGGAAAGTTGAAGATCTCTCTGTGTTCACCCTAGAATAACAAAGTGTGGTTCAAGGAGACCATTTGTCAGGAAAGAACCACGCTTTAAAATGTGTCAAAAATAAGTACTAGAAAACATAGATGATACACCTCTGGACATCAACCTCAAAGATGTGTGTTCAGGGACTTTCCTCTAACAGAAAAAACAGCAAAAACAAACCAATGGGACCACATCAAACTAAAAACTTCTGCACAGTGAAAGAAAACACTCCAAAATTGAAAGAGCAGCCAGCCAATTGAGAGAATGCATTCGCACATTTGACAAGGGGTTAATATCCAGAACATAGAAATAACTCCTACAACTCAATGACAAAAAAAGAAACAACCTAATAAGAAAATGGGCAGGATATCTGATAAAAATTTTTCCAAAGAAAACATACAGGTGGCCAACTTGTACATGGAAAAAAATGTTCAATATCACTTATTAGGGAGATGCATATCCAAAGCACAAGGGTGTCACCTCATGCCTGTGAGAACAGCCTACAACAAAGAGACTGGGAACAAATGCTGGTGAGGGAATGTGAATAGGAGCAGCCTCGGTGGAAAATGGTATGGAGACTACTGAAAATAGATGCAGCACATGACCCAGCAAGCCCACACTTAGGTACTTATCCAGAGAGTATAATAAGACCAACTTGAAAAAAATAGCTGCTCCCCTGTTAATTACAGCACTATCCACAATAGCCAAGATGTGGAAATAACCTAAAAGCCCATTGACAGATGAATGGATAAGGAAGTTAGGGTATAAACAGAAGCAATGTAGCACTTCTCAGATATTTATTGCGTTGTCAGAAAAGTCACGACATATTTTTCCTATTTTTTAAAGCAAAAATGTGTCTGACAGCCTAATAAAGATGAAATCATGCCTTTCTCAACAACATGGATGGAACTTGAAGCAACTCTGCTAAGTGAAATAAGTCAGAATGAGAAAGACATACTTTATGTACTGCCCAAATATTACACTCATGCAGACTGTTTCACTCGTGGAATAATTTCAGTCAGACATGGACTATTGACAACTTGGCAAATGAACTAAAAGCACAACAAAAGTAATCTTAGACTGAGAAAAATATGCTGGTTACCTGAGGTGGAGGGAAAGGGGGTTGACAGAAACGGATAGAAGGGGTCAACTTGATAATGGTGGGAGGTACTAGAACTGTGGGGTGGGTGTGGCATGGTGTACACATTTGTCAAGGTATGAAGCCCTACATCCTAAACATATACAATATTATAAATCAATGGTAAATAAAAATTTATTTTATAAGTACTATATAAAATATGCTGAGATAACCATTTTACTTAATTTCTAGGGAGGAAGACTAAGGATCTAAATGTATCTAGTTAAAGTCTGCCTGACTCCAGAGACGGCACCTGAATCACCCAGGAAGGGGAGGGGAGGAGAGGGGAGTGATGGTGGTACAGAAAGCTCCTTCTACATTGGAATCAAGAAAAAGCGTGATGATCAGGTCTCAGGAAAAGTGAACGCTAGGCTCAGGTTTCTCTGTCTCAAGTTCCTCAGCTTCCTTCTGCCTTCTGTGCCTCCCCTCCCTTCATCATATTCTTCTCAGCTTGCAAGCAGCCTTTATAAACCATGCACAGACAGAATCCCTAGTGCCTGAGCGCACAGCTTACCATCACCCCTCTCAGACTGTCTAATTAAAGTAGCAGGCAGGGAATCTATTTTGCCCAGCTCACTTTTTTCTCTTAAATGTCACAGCATAACTTTGGATTACTTAGTGTTGGGTCAAGAATCGACCTCTGACCCACACAGCTGCGGCCAGACAGTATATCTCAATTGGAAGTCTTGTCTCATGCTGAAAAGAACCCAACAACCTGGAAAGGGGCACGACAGCAAGAACACAGTGAATCGCAACCAGTAGTTCCAGAAAAAAATGATGAGATTGGACTGGCTAATGCTTATTTTTATAAGAAGAAAAAAACCACACCACGTGGCACCACCATGTCTCAGGAAGGAGGAGAGCTGTTCAGTCACATGAGCAGGGAAGCCAGCTGGCTCTCAAACCCCCTTGGACACTCTTCACATGTCCCCACACCCTACCTTTGCTCCAGAGAGAGGGGAAGTCCAAACGAGGATGTCATTCTCTTTTCAAATGAGAAAACAAAACAAAATCTCTTACCATATGTAATCACCTCTGAATATTGACTTTTGAAGCCCAAGTTTATTTCCCTGTGGGAATGACAGCATAACACACTGCCTGTGAGACACTTTCTCACAACCAGCCATTCAAAACAAGCAGTAACACCCACCTAGTATTGCACTGTCCCACCCATTTTAGGAGTCCCAGTACATCTGACAACTGCACGCATTCTTTAGAGGAAGGCACCAGTGACTTCACCCTCAGACGCTTTTAAGTGAACTGGCACTTGGCCCACAACTGCATTTTCTGTGTCCTTGGCAAGCAGGAAAAAGAAGATGGCAATTTGAGGATGACTAGATTTCACCTGACAATAGGAGCTTCTTTTTGTTTCCACTTGACCAACTTACAGCATATACTATATGCAGCATAATATATTGGAAACATAAGGCATCCAGGCTTTTGGCCAAAAACACAGGGAAAAAATTAGCAGACCTAGAATTTCTTGA